ACAACTTTGCATTACCAGTGGAGCTACTGCTCCACTCGTCCTCCATAGTCTCAGACTCACATAGGACGTTAAATCAATCAATCAATCAATCAATCAATCAATCAATCAATCAATCAATCAATCAATCAATCAATCAATCAATCAATCAATCCATAACTGCCCCAGCTGTAGCTTGGTTGTTCTACCAACACGTCTGGGTACACCATGGCCTGCCCGACACAATAGTATCCGATAGAGGTACCCAGTTCGTCTCCGCCTTCTGGGACGAACTGTGCAAACAGCTGAAGATCGAAGCCTGATTGTCTTCCGCATACCATCCGCAGACCGACGGACAAACCAAAAACGCCAATGCTGCAATGGAACAAGTTCTCCGCGCATACACAAACTATCAGCAAGATGACTGGGTTAATTGGTTACCAGTCGCCCAATTTGAAGCCAACAACACAACTTCTGAATCAACGCGAGTCTCCCCATTTCTTGCTAACTATGGACAACATCCCCGGATGGGTTTCGAACCCCCTTTGGAGACAACAAGGCCGCCTTATCACGCCATACAAGTAGCAGATGCGAACCAAATGATAGACAAGATCCGCAACCTGACGGAGTACATCCGAGAAGAACTACTTTGGGCGCAAGCTACGCAACAAGAGTATGCAAATCGGACCCGTTCCGGAGCCCCAGCGTATGCCGTAGGCAATTGAGTCTGGCTCGACGCCCAAAATATCCGGACTAACCAACAGTCAAAGAAGTTGGACTGGAAGAACCTTGGACCCTATAAGGTAGCGCAGATGGTCTCGTCCCATGCCTACCGACTGGAACTGCCTGATAGCATGAAAATACACCCAGTATTCCATGTGTCTCTGCTCCGACCCGCCGCCCCCAATACAGAGTACCTACCTGGCCAGCAGAACCCGCCACCTGATCCCGTTATTGTTGACGGAGAGCCCGAATACATCGTTGAGGGCGTTGAGAAGATCCGCTACAACAAAAAACTACGCCGATATGAATACCTAACCCGTTGGACCGGCTATGACGAACTATCGTGGGAACTGGCTGAAGCCCTGCGCAACAATACAGCAGCTGGACAATTCCACGCCCGATACCCATCCGAACCAAACCCGTACCCTGATGACCCCGATGTGACAGTTTAGAAGGGGGGTACTGTCACGGTATCCTCTCCAGATCCCCTGACAATATCCAGATCCGCTCCGTACTGTCCCTGACCGTACACACCAAATCCCCAGCGTCCTTACACACCTCCGAAGCGGACGTACAACCTCCGGTCACCTCCGGAGCGGGCCTGCAACCTCCAAAGCAGGAATATTAGGATTCTGCAAGCCCCGCTCCGGGACTTGCAACCCCGATACCTATCCAACTCAGTTCCGATTATTAACCGGTAACCGAACGAACCCACACGTAAGTATATAGACTATTGCTGGTAGAGTTCTGTTTGGTACACAACGTCTTGTACCTACTTAGATACCGTACGTAGTAATTGATTTAGACTCCCAGCAAGTCCTAAAGGGCCTACTCGTAGCATCTTCGTGACAGCTTCCTTGATTTGTTTCTCAACACCATCTTGCTCACAGCCTTTAGCAACTTGTTTGCAGATTGTTTCATTGCCTTGAAATAAGTGTGGACGGTTCTTTGCATCCTTGTTGATGTAGAAGCAGTCACTGTACCAGTGTTGTTTGCCACAAAGACACAGAGGAACAGGTAATTGACTAGAGCCATTGTTGTTTTGGCATCCACAACCTCTGCCATGTCCACAGCCTCTGTTGCTTTGATTGCTGTTAGAGTTTAGATTGCTGTTGACCAAGTTGGCAACATCTAACTTTGTGGCACAAGAGCCTGATACAGCTTTAAACTTTGGGTTGTTGGCCTGTAGGTAGAGTCGAGCGCTGTTGATGTAACGCCTACGACTGAAAGCACCCCGATAGTGGTGTGATTCCTACAGGTTGCCGCACACCGCTCCTTTTTGGTTGCAACTGCATCCTTGTCACCTGGACAAGGGTAGTTCCAATTCCCCTCCGAACTGTGTACTTAATCAGTTTGGCACAGTTGTTAGATAGAGTAGTTTTTCTGTATCCTTTCGTACAAGATCTATAGGTGTAGGGAATTCAATCCTAGTGTTCTCAATGTCCCAGCACTCCCATATGCCTTGTAGTGGACTCACACTTACTTCGGACATCTTCCCTACTGGCCTGCGTCGTTACAGTTGACGTATTTCTCAAGTGTTGGAATGTTGGACTCTTCCTCCTCTGTCTTGGGATAGAAGTCTCGGAGCAATCCACTGGCATAGTTGTAATCAACTCTCTTGAGAGCCATGAGGAACTTTTCTTGTGGGCAATCTTCAGCTGTGTCTACTAGATCCATCTTTTTTTCTTGGTTTGTAACATCAACCCACTCACTGAACCATTGTTCAAGGAGCTTGTTGGATCATGGACCGTTCTTGAGGGCATTGAAACGCTGGATCAGGACATGCTTATGTCATTTTGTTGTTGGAGCAAGTGCAACTTTGAGTGCAGTGAATTGGGCATATGGTGTTTTGTAGTCATCAGTGAGGTAGTGGTGATGTTTGTCGATTGCTGTGTTTATCTCAGCCAACATAGCAGCCAGAGCCTTCTTGATGTTCTTGTTAGCAATAATTTTGCGTTCCCATCGATCATAGTCCCATCGGTAATTGGCAGCTTGTGTTGAATTGAGTTGTCCAAGGCTTATTGCATCAGTCTTGTAATTGGCAAGCAGTGGTTCAATTGGATGAAACAAAGATAGAGAATTGAGTTTGAGTGAACCTAGTTGGCAACCGGGCTCATAACTGTAATGGTACTGAAGATAATCAGTATTGGGCAATGGATATTGAGGTTCACTGAAGTTGTATTGTACTCAAGCTGTGTGTTTATATACTGTGAATGAATGGAAAGAAGAACTGACCGTGAAGCTATTATGTTACTGATACTGTTGAAGGAGTCTGGTCCAGTTGGTCCTTTTACTCAACCTCATACAGTACTGTAACATGACCTCTTACTGTACTGCGACAGTAGGTTTCCTCGTGGTTTAAGCTAGCTACGCTCTAATTCTTCCATAGAACGAACGACTATTGCAAAATCGCCATGTCAGGTTCAAGAACGAGCCCAGCCCTGAGCTTAACAATGCTGAGTTGTCTGTGGAATGCGGGATTATGACGAAAATGCAGACACCATGGACGACGAAGATGATGCGGAGGACGACGAGTCTGAGAGTGATTTTGAGGATTAAGTCACGAACATGCCGGCTTCCTTATACCAGACTCACTTTGGCTAAACCAGAGAAGGTGCCTTCTCCGAAGAAACGGATTCGGAACTGCGGGGCTACGCTGAGTGCGGGGAAAATCAAAATTGAAATCCTACACTTACTGAGTTGCGACTCATCGCGGTAATACTTTTCCGAGCTGCCCTCTGGATCGTTTGACGACGTCATATTAGGTCACCAGCCCGAAGAGTCTTTAGGTTGTGGGATAGACTTCAGAGCACCAGGCATCATCGCACCTCTCCTATACAGTCCCTTCCCACATCCCCCACCACGATGTGGTCACCAATTCTCTTACTACTAACCTGCGTTCATTTCACCGCCAGTCAAGTGGACTACGCAAAGTATGTGAATCCATTTTGGGGAACAGAAGGTTCGATACCCGGTTATACCTTCGGCGGCGGCGCCGTCTTCGTTGGAGCTTCAGTGCCCTTCGGCGTGGTCAAATTGACCATGGACACTTTCGTCAAGAACACCAGCATTGCCGCGCTTCAGGGAGGGTATACGCCCAATGGGTTCATCACCGGTTTCTCCATGATGCACGAGTCAGGCACCGGAGGTTGCTCCAAATACGGCGTTATCTCGCAGATGCCGCTTACGAACATTGAGGCACATGTAAATCTTCTGGACAACCGAACATACTGGCAAGGGCGGGTTGGCAATGATCAAGCGAGCATCGGATACTTCAAGACTGAGCTCGAAAATGGCGTCAAAACCGAGCTGAGTGCGACACGACATGCCGGGTTCTTCCAATATACCTTCCCGATGGAAGAGAAGAAGCACGTGCTTGTCGACGTGTCGCATTATCTACCCAATGTCGTGGGTGGCTACTGCACACAGACATATCGCGAGGGCGAGATCAAAATATCAGACGACAGAAAGAGCTATCAAGGTCATGGAACGTACGCTGGCGGCTTCAACGAGGGTGCACCGTATACTGTGTACTTCTGCGGAGAATTCGAGGACCCACCTGACGAGGCCGAAACTTTCGCTGGACGCGATCAGTTCCCTGGTTTCAACTCCATGAACCCAGAGCCACTGCCATGGCCTACATTTGTTTCGGAGAATATGACCAGTCCGCAAGGAAGTCGTGTAGGTGCTGTCTTTACCTGGAACGGCAACACAACCACGGTGCGATCCAACGTCGGCATATCCTTTATCTCTGAAGAAAAAGCATGCAGGTTCAAAAACGAGGAGATCAAGTCCTGGGACATACAAACAACTGTGGATGCAGCAGTGGAGGAATGGAATCGCGACGTGTTCAGCAAGATACAAGTTGACACCGGTGAGGATGCGAATCAGGACCATCTGACACTGCTGTATTCTTCGCTGTACTTCATGCACCTCATTCCTTCGGATCGGACAGGAGAAAACCCTCTTTGGGAGAGTGAAGAGCCCTACTGGGACGACTTTTATACCTTGTGTAAGTTCTGCCTTTCAGGGACCTTGACAATCTGCACTGATATCTGACGAAGGGGACACGTTTCGCAACACCATCAGCCTTTCCCATTTGATTCAGACCGAGGCCTACGAATCTCAGGTCCGCTCTTTGATTGATATCTGGAGGCATCAAGGATATATGCCTGATGTGAGAGATCCACAACATACGAACTGCATATGAATAACACACTGACACTGAGTGCCACATCTAGGGCCGCTCTGGCAACGACAACGGCTTAGTCCAGGGCGGTAGCAATTCCGACAACGTTCTTGCTGATGCCTATGTGAAGGGACTACGCGGTGCGATCAATTGGGCTGATGGATATGCAGCCATGATGAAGAACGCCGAGGCCCCCACAAACGGAAGCAACAAGGAAGGGCGCGGCGCGGGAGCAGACTGGCTAAAATACGGCTACGTGAGTCAGGCGATGCCACGAAGCATCTCCCGTACAGTCGAGTACTCCTTGAACGACTTCGCCTTGAGCCAGGTCGCCAGGGGTGAAAAGCCAGAGGATGTCGAAAAATACCTGAAAAGGTCTGCGGGGTGGCAGCTACTTTGGGATGCAACGATGCCCAGCAAGAATACGACGCCGGTCTTCACTGGCTTCCTTACACCGAGGGATTACAATGGGACATTCAATCAGACGGACTACAATCCCGCAACGTGTGGTGCTTGCTCTTGGCCATCACTCACGTACGAAGGCACGCCCTTTGAGTACTCATTTACTATTCCACACGACATGGAGACCTTAGTTGAAGTAATGGGCGGACCGGAAAGTTTCGAAGAACGTCTGGATTACATCTTCGTGCCTTATACAAGTCAAATCGATCTCGGACCCAACGGTGCCGGCATCAACACGATCATGAACATAGGGTAAGCGTAACCAGAATCGAAAGTTGTCACTTACTCACTGGTGATGGATAGGAACGAACCCGACTTCGCAACCCCATATTTGTACAACTACCTCAACAAGCAATGGAAGAGCGTGAACCAGTCCCGTGCTCAAAGTAGACAGTAGTAACTTCATACCCTCTCCTTGCTCCACGTTTGTGCCAGAACGCTTCGAGGACCTACTAACTCGTTTCCCTTCTAGCTTCCGCAACACCCCGAACGGCATGCCCGGCAACTCCGACGCCGGCGCCCTAAACTCTTGGCTGATCTGGCAGATGCTAGGCCTCTATCCCATCGTCACCACCCCAGTGTACCTCCTCGAGAGCCCTTGGTTCTCAGACATCAACATGACCATCAACGGCAATCGAACTCTTCGAATCACGGCCGAGGGTCTGAGCGAGGACAGCTACTATGTGCAAGGCGTGGAGATCAATGGGGAGCAGTGGGACAAGAACTGGTTTGAGCATGGAGATGTTATGAGTGAAGGGGGGACGATTAAGTTTGAGCTTGGGAGCGAGCCGAAGATTTGGGAGAGTGGGGATGTACCGCCTAGCCCGGGGCACGTTAAGTTGTAGGACAATGCAGCGCACAGCGTCTTGCATGTGGAAGGTGCAACAGTGTTGCGCTAGCAGCGGCGCGTCATGGCGCGCTTGTACTTCTGATCGAACCATCCCAAAGCGGTCAACACATGTTTACCTGCAGTCTATCGCCTCAAGCTTGCAACTCCTCTCGCCTGTCACACTACCAACGACCTGCTGCATGTCTGCACAACAAGAAGATGCTGCTGATTGCGCGGTTGGCGAAGCCTTTGCCAAATTTGAGAGGTGTGGTTTGACCTTGGCGCACTGCATCTGCCTCTTTACTGACGTGCCCACAGAGCAAAGCGGAGCAACACGAAGTACGCTACCAAGGGGATCCACGCAGCCAGGTCGCAAGGTTACACACTCACAGGTCACACAGAAATCGGGCAATCAGCGATGAGTTTGGACACATGGAGCAGCAAAAAGGTAGAGCTAGCTACCACGCGCAAGATGAATGGTGGTCAGCGAAACGCTTAGTTACAAGACCCAGTGTCTACAAGATATTCGCAGTGTCGAATGCATCTCACACAACTTCTGCCACTTGTTCAAGATAACATGTTGACATCCCACGCTTTGATCGATACTTTGACACCGTTCCTAGAGCCCAGCCTTACTGCGTTTCCAACTAATCCAACAACACCAAACGCCATTCCCTAGGGTATAACCTCTCAATGTCGACCAACATTCCTCCCACTCACCTTCTCTTTCGCCACCACCATCCACCCCCGATATACTCAGCCCTCTCAAATACTCATCATCTCCCCCCCCCCCCCCCCATAATCTTAAGAGACCCGCGCATCCGCATCTACGCGCCATAGCTAATCTCATATCCCAACAGCACCTCCGTGCTAGCGCCTTCCCAGCCGCGGTTCCCGCCCGTGCTGATCATGAATGTGCATGTTGGATCCAGGTATAATTGGCTGATCACACCTGTTCTGTGCCCCGGTACGATTAAGAAAGGGGTAGCGGCGGTGTTTTGTTTGGCGTCGGCGCCGATGGAGGAGTTGGTCGTGTGGGTTAGGTCGTATTGGCGGAGGATGTCGTATGAGGCGCTGTTGCGATGAGTCGGTATGGTGTTGACGGAGAAGAGAGGGTAAGAGGGGAGAGAGAGGTAGTGGGGGGAAGAGGGGAGAGGGAGGGAGTGAGGGGGGGCGTACCATATCAGTGTCCGTCCATTTGGCATAGCTCTTACAGCACTCACGCTCCCGCTCACGCCGGGGAACTTGAATGTGCGCTCTGGTTGCGAGAGGGTCTTGTGGAGGCTGTATTCGTCGACTGTGCCGTTGCGTCTGTATCGAACACATCAGCTTCCCCACTTTGACTGCATGAGAAGAGACTGAGCAGTGAGATGCGATGTGTGACGGCATCAGAGGGGTTGGACCAGGCATCATGACTTACCTGCCCGCGTAAATGTAATTACCGTCTGGCGACCAACATGCATTCATACACCACGGCGGCGTGCCCCTTGGAGGCAGAAGCCTTGCAATCGGCGACGGCTGCCGGCGGTCCCAGATCGACAGCGAGCCATCCATCGAAGACGACAGAAACGTGGACTCGGAGCTCGGCGGAAGGGAGGGCGTGTCTTTCACCACCGCAGGCAATTCTTCGGCGTGAGGGAGTCCATTCGTCAGCGGTGCAGAATTCGAGGGTTGTGTTTGTGAAGCGGCGGGTGGTGATTTCGCAGACGCGTTGTGTGTGGGCTGTGTTTCTGCGTGTGTGTGGGCATCGGGTGCTTGCACGGGCCCGCCCATGTCCATCATATCCATGTCGCCGCCGGCGTTGTCGGCGGCGGCCTGGATCCCGTTGGCGATGGCGCGCGAGAACTCGTCGTCGTCGTCGTCGCCCATGTCGGGGAGTGCGGCGGACGGGTTGTTGCCGCCCCCGTCACCGAACAAAGAGTCCTTGTCGCCCCCGTCGCCAAAGAGAGAGTCGTCGGGCGAACCGGGGGCGTCTTCGGGCTCGTCTGGGGCGGATGTGGTGCGCGCGGCGGACTCGATGCCGTTGGTGCTGCCGTTCAAGCGGGGGCGGGCGGCGTTGTTGGAGGAGAAGGTGCCGTTGGAGAGGGGGAGTGGGTCGGAGTCTTGCGGTACGGGGAGGGAAGACAGGGGCCGCTGTTCGATGGCGGAGACCTGGCCGCCCCTGGTCTCGAACCTGCGCTTCACCTTGCCTGTGTTGAGGTCCCAGTCGTTGATGGTCTTGTCCCAGCTGCCACTCAGCACCGATGTCTCGTCTTGGCCGAGGGTCAGCACGGAGACGGCCGAGGTGTGGCCCTTCAGCGTGTGTATGCGGTGGCCCTCGTTATGGCGCACGGACTGCAGGTTGATGCCGCCGGACTCTGTGCCCGACAGCAGCCACAGCGACTGGTGGTGCACGGCGAGCGAGTAGACGGGCGAGGGCGCGTCGGAGCCCGCGCCGTCCTCGTTCTCCCAGTACGACAGCAGCACGCCCGCCTTGGTGACCGAGTCGACGAAGGGATGCCGCTGGGCGACTGTCAGGGCGAGCTTGCCGTTCGCCGTGTCGATCCAGTTGAACTTCCGTATGTAGCCGTCGGCGCCCCCGCTGAAGACCCATCGCATGTCCGGCGTCGCGGTAATGGCGTTGATCGAGGTGCTGTGCGGGGCGGCGATGGTCGGGATGATGTCGTAGACGGGCGCATCAAGGGCCTCCTGTCGCACGCTCGGCCTGAGGGGCAGGTGGCCCAGCACGCCTGTCGCCGCGGCCTGCGGGCTCGGCGAGGTGCGCGTCACCCGCGGATTCGAGTCGGAAGGCCCTGGGGTGCCGCCGTTGGGGAGACTGCGCCGTCGCTGCGAGGGGCTGCCCGGCTCGTCCTGCTCCTCGTCGTTGTCGTTGTCGTTGTCGTTGTCGCCGTCCTGGTCCTGGTCGTCGTCGTCGTCATTGTCGCCCTCAGCGTCTTCGTCGTCGTTGTCGCCATCATCGTCGTCGTCTCCGCCCTCGTCTTCGTCTACGTCCATGGCATCGTTCTCCTCCTGCTCGTCTTCCTCCTCGGCGGAGCCTGCAATGGTCAGCTTCCATGCGTATAGCCGGCCGCGCGTGTGAAGTAACCTACTTGCGCCGTTGTCATCGTAGTCGTCCTCATTCATGCTGCCCCCGAAAAGCTCGCTCGCACCTGCTGCTTTCGAAGGTACAATTGCTCGAGGCGCGCGGTGAATTGCCCCGACGTCCGCGCTTGGGCGCGTCATAGGGCTGAGCGTGCCGAACCGAGGCTAGCCCAATTCGAGCGGCGACCCTGGATCTTGACTTCCTCGACGCCCTCACCTCTGGAACCCAACATCTGCATCATCATCATCATCATCATCATCATCATCATCGACAACATCACAAGATCCACCATGTGTCGTTGGAGACCAGATTCAGACCCGTTCATTTCTCGGCTGCTTCCTTTCGTCTTTGCCCTCTCGGACAGAAGCGGTTCTTGCCTTCTAGCTTGCACCGTACGTGTCCAGGACATACTACCCCACGATCGTGACTATATCCGTAGATGGCAGATGCGCTGATCGCGTTCTCCTGCAGTCGTCCGCTACGTTGTGATGTTATAGAACGCCATCTCAGGACACATCTTCCCCAGCAAACGACGAAATCCCATACTACTGATACTCCTCTAGGATCAGCGTGGGCTGCTGGAGCAACACAGATGCGCACTCCGACTGCTGAATGGCCTCGTTTGTCTGTCCACTTACTTCTCCGTTCTCACAGGCTCTCGACAGTAAGTCAATCTGCGCACCGTAGCCCTAGGCATACTGTGCACCTTTTTCCCTAGTCACTCGAATTTCGCACCTGTCTCTTCGCTTCGTCAATCGTCTGATTAGCTATTTCGTTCATTCTCCCTGTTTCACGACTCTCAGTGGGTGCTTGCGCTGGCTTGTCTGAGCTGAGCAGTCTGAGTGTGCCTTCCCTTTTCGTCCACGTGCAAACGACAAACGCGACACCAAGCTTCACCCCCGCAATCTTTTCGCACAATCAACTCCAGCAGTGTTCCCACAGCCCTTGTCGCCGCTCTTTCTATCGTCACAACATCACTTACTGCATTCCATATCACCCTCCCTACCCTGTCACACTGTTTACAAGTCAATATGGCGAGAAAGCAACACCGGTCTAGAAAACCATACCAATGTGGCCAGCAATCGGCCGCCCGCAGTTCTGAGCAACCCAAGGCACAGAGCAACAACACCTACGCAGGTCTAGACGACGGTTTTGAGGAAGGTAAGTGTTTCTGTTTGCATGGCAAGCAAGCAGCACATGGCTTGAGTGCCATGCCCACTGCCTCCTGCGCCCTTGTGGCTTTCTCCCTCCTCCTCCTGCCACTGTCTCTCATCATACTGCATCCCCATCATGAGCCCGGCTCACAGGAGAGCAGATGGCGAATGCAATGCCCACTTGACCAAGCGATCCAGCAATGCTGTGTCACACCGCCGACGCAACCCGCAAGTCCCCGACGACAGAATTCCCGAGTCTGTGCCGACACGAGTAAATGAAGACATCCGCAAATACTATGAAGCCGCCAATACGCCTGTCGCAGGTGCCGGACCCTGGCTCGACAAGCCTGAGATCCCGCATCCGACGGAGATCCTGCCGGAGGAGCCGTCATTCACCACGATTGAGACGCTGATCAAGACGGGTGAGGGACCGCGACCAAAGAAGATAGACGGGCCATACGACAGCACTAAGGACTATCTACGCACCGAGTACGAGCTTCTGCGCGAAGATGCCCTGCGACCGCTGCGCGAGGCCGTAGCTGAGGTGCGCAAAGATGCGTGGAAAGATGAGGCCCAGTATGATAAAGGTGTTGGCATCTACGAGCCCGTGTACATTACCGCGCTTGTGTTCAGTCCCCGAGGACTGGCAACGCGCGTGGCATTTTCTATGTCGCGCGTCAAGAAGCACATTCGGTAAGCCTAATCCTATTCTCACCCGACGAAGAAAGCCAGAATCAAGCATTCGACTGGAACTCCACTGCGCCATCAGTTCAATGCTCTGAAGATTTCCAGGGCTTGCTTATGGTTGTCAAGAGCGCTGAGTACCAGCGCTCCAATCTTTTGCACCCAAAAGAGGAAAGATCGTGGCATTGAGAGTAGTCTCTGAAGGTTGCCCAGCGCCGGGTTCCTCAGCCAGATGACAGCCCTACAGACATTCGGTCTTTGCTGACTTGAACAGTTGGGAGCAGTCCAAGCGTCTCATCACCGGTACTCTGGTCGCCTTGTCACCCTTCGGCGATGCCTTTCAAACGACTTGCATACTAGCTACAGTTGCCGCCCGACCCTTGTCAGCATTACAGCAGAATGCGCCGGAGATTGACCTGTTTTTTCCTCACTACCATCAACCAATCGATCCTATGCAGAAGTGGATCATGGTCGAATGCCGTTCCAGCTTCTTCGAAGCCAGCCGGCACACACTCATAGCGCTTCAGCACATGATGAGGGAACCTTTCCCACTCTCAGAACACCTTGTCGATTTAAAAATGGAAGTTGAGCCTCCTGCATATATCCAGAACAACCCTTATGTCGATCTCAGTACCCTGGTCAGTATGGAAGAGGCGTCAAGTTTCCAGAATGTGAACGTGCTGAAAGAGTGGCCCGCCAGTGATGCAACCTCGCTTGATAATTCTCAATCACGAGCATTGCAGCGCATGCTTACTCGCAGGGTAGCTATCGTACAAGGACCGCCTGGTACTGGCAAGACATTTGTCTCTGTCAAGGCCATGCAGGTCCTCCGCGATAACTTGCGCAAGGACGACGCGCCGATCATCGTCACTGCGCAGACAAACCACGCCGTCGATCAGATATTGCGGCATACTCGGTCATTCGAACCCAACTACATTCGACTGGGTGGCCGCAGCAAGGATCCGGACATCAAGAAGCGCACTTTGTTCGAGGTTCGTTCCGCCGCACCTCCGCAGAAGCATCCCCACAGCCAAAAGACGCAGACTATGGCTGCAATGAGAAAGGCCAAGGTCGCCTGCCAGAGTCTGCTAGCGCCACTCGAAATGGGCAAAGGTGCATTGGATCATCGTGTGTTGAGGCGATTGGGCTTATTTACAAAGGACCAGGCAGAGTCGTTGGAGGTGGATGACGACTCCATTCTCGGCCCATCGCAAGACGCTCCAGGCGAGTTGATGCAACAGTGGCTCGGCAAGGCGTTGACAGAATGTCGGCGTCCGGCTGGGCCAGATGACTTTGGCTGGGAGTGGGAAGAGGAAGACCTCGAGATCGAACAGCTGCAAGAGCTTGAGGCCGAGGCTTCTGCACAGGACGACGAGGACATTGAAGCCCTCCGAGGGGAAGTTCTCATGCTAAGCGATAACTACAGGGGCAAGGGCAGTGGCATCCTAAAAGACCAAGAGGTCCAGGAGATTCTTGCTACCATGCCAGACCTAACGATGATCGAGTACGCCAACCGCGGACACATCTACAACTACCTGATGCGCCAGATGAAGAAGCTCTTACTGGCGGAAGTGCGCAAGGTCGCGAAAGACTACGACGAAGTCGTCCAGCAGCGTCGTGTTGGGCTGTGGGAAGAGGATGTCAATCTTCTCAGCAAGCAGCGGATCATTGGCATGACAACGACCGGTTTGTCGAAGTACCGCGCACTTATCGCTGCTCTCCGACCGCGAGTCGTGCTTGTCGAAGAAGCTGCGGAGACTATGGAGGCACCTGTCACCGTAGCTTGCTTGCCAACACTCGAACACCTTATCCTCGTCGGAGACCACCAGCAACTCAGGCCGCACACTCAGGTCAAAGCATTCGAGAATGCTCCGTACCACTTGAATCTATCGATGTTCGAGCGTTTGGTCATAAACGAGGTTGAGTTTGACCAGCTCACTCGACAGCGCCGTATGATCCCAGAGATTCGACGCCTACTTACTCCCATCTACAACGACACGTTGAAAGACCATGCCAGTGTTAAGGATCCGAACAACCAACCTTCGATCATGGGCATGGGTGGAGTCAACTCATACTTCTTCACTCATGAGTGGAATGAGGCAAGGGATGCTTACTCGTCCTGCTTCAACGAGCCCGAAGCCAAATTCATTGTAGGATTTGTTGACTACCTAGTGCTGAATGGCGAAGCACCTACGGGGATCACAGTACTAACCTTCTACAACGGCCAACGCAAGCGCATCATTCACCTGCTCCGATCACATCCGAATCTTCGCACGTACCCTGTCAAAGTGGTGACTGTAGACTCATATCAGGGAGAAGAGAAAGTGAACCTCCTGGGCGCGATCGGATCCATGCTGACTGTGACTGCCAGGAATGACATCGTTCTTCTGTCACTTGTCCGATCGAACAAGCACCACGTGATCGGCTTTCTTTCAAACGACAACCGTGCATGTGTTGCACTGTCCCGGGCGAAACGCGGCTGCTACCTTTTCGGCAACGCTGAGCTTCTCGCCTGCGAATCTGGGACGTGGGGCGAGGTCGTGACCATCATGTACAAGACCAAAGTCCCAAAAGCCAGGGCGAAGAACAGTCAGGAGCGCCGCATCGGCTACTGCTTCCCGCTTCAATGTACGCAGCATCAGCGCAAAGTTTGGTTAGAGTATGTCGATGACTGGGACCTTATTCATGGTGGTTGCGATTACAAGTGCAAAGGTATTTTGTCGTGCAGCCACCCGTGCCCTTACAGATGTCATCCGTGCGTCCTGATGCTTCTCCAGAATATAGGTTGTGGGCTAACACGGTGTAGGTTTGAACATGATCAGATCAACTGTATGATGCAGTGCTCGACCAAACTGACCTGCGGTCATCGCTGCATGGGTATGTGTTGATCAAACTCTGACTCTGACAGCGATACTGATGGAAGCACAGAGCTGTGTTCTGACCCTTGCAAGTGTCAGACTTGCGATCGACGCGCTGGCGGTCATCGATCTATGCTAAAGCCTGCCGCCAACAGTGTAACTTCATCCCGCCCGCCTTCCTCGACATCGCGAAATCTTCTTCTCGACTCCGGCTTCCAGGCCCCGGCGAACCCACCTCCGCCATCAGGATCGCCCGATAAGTGGCACGCCTATGTAAACGGCGGTGCACAGGCAGATGACGCTCAGCTGCTGCAGAAGCGCAGGGAAGAAGAAGCCGCGTTCCAGGAGGCTCGCCGCAATGGAACGCTTCAGTCTGCTGCTGCAGCTGCAGCAGCCACAGGTGCTGGCACGAGTACGTCTGGCAAGCTGATCGAGACATCGCCTCGAAAGCCTTCGGCATCCGTCTCCGGTAATACCAGCTTGCTGGTGGACCTCGACATCAATAGTAACTACGAGTCTTACCAGCCGCAGCCATCGAGGGGATCGTATGCGATTGCTGCGAGGTCCAACAAGACGATCTATGGAGGATCGGAGTGGAGCCTTCTTGACTAAGTATGGCGATGATGACACAACAAGCGGAGGTTTTCAAGCCGTTGCAGCAATCGATCTGCACCACACCGTCCAAATAGCGCGTTGATAATCTTTAACGCAATTGAGGCGCACAACATCGGGTATCTCTTTGCTCCGCCTCATCTCCTCACCCATTAAACATTACTACTCCCCTTCTCCATTCGTCTACCTCCCCCAATGTTGCTCGAAGAGTTAGGCCTTCTCCCTCTCCCCATCAAACGCAACCTCAAACACCTCGCCCACCAACTTCGCTACATCCCCGCCCAACCCTCTAATCGCGTCCTCGATCCCCGCAACCGTCTCCGGACGCAGCTGGCCGCGCCGCGAGTAGAAATCCACCCCGGCGGGCGTGAACAATGTCTTTGCGAAGTAGGTTACTACCCAGTCGTTTTGTGTACCTGACTCGGAGCCGTAGCCTAGGATCTCCCATTTTGAGGATGCGATCATGAGCCACCCTTTTCCTCTCCAATTATACCCTAGCGAGGCTAGTTCTTCGTCCATTTGGCTGGCAGCCGGTGGAGCAGTCGGGGAAGTAGGTGTGGTGGGGAAGGGTTTGTCAACGCCCCTCACCGTGCTCACTTTCACCTTGCTCTTATCTAGTGCCTGATAGCTGACTTCGTCGTCCATGTGTGTCCCGGAACGGTGACCGAGTCCGCCGGCTGAGCCGGTAGAAGGGAGTGTGGTGTAGGTTATGATCACGTTTCGTGATTTCTTCCACATTGGGAGGGTGCTGTGGGTTACATTCCAGTGACCGCTTAGCCAAGAGAGGGTAGGTGGGGCGAGGGGAGTGTCTTGGGAGGGGGTAGAAGAGGTGGATGGTCGGCGCAGGGTTATTGTTGGGGTTGTGGTTTCGAGGGGTGCGGAGGCCATTGTGAGGGTGTGGTAATGGTATTTGACAGTCGGTTGTGTGTGGAGGATGGTGTGCGACAAAAAGATGGTCGAAAAACCCAAGATTTATGCGTGCCTGAAGACTACGAGGTCTCGACCCTGAGGGTGATGTCTGCTGTGAGCGTTGTTTCTAGCTGAGATCTCAGCGCGTGCTGTGCATGTGGATATCTAGAGGGCTATCTGGAGTGAACGCCCTGTGATGGGTAGTGGAGGAAAAACAATGTCGTAAAGGAAGGAACTTGATATTGAGTGCTATGTATGTATGAGATCGTCGTGCCAAACAAGTGTTGACGCGTGTGAGGCGCCGGAATGGAGAGCTTCCGGGTATCGATAAGAGTTGGGGTCTGTGCTTGGATACCCTCTATCACCATAAGCATCGAAGCCTGAGATTTCATTCATGTTTACAGTATGGAATAGTTGGCACTTGTTGGCCGCAGAGCGTTGATGGCTATTGTGGAGAGAATGTGGTATTGCCGTTTGAACGGGGAAGGATGTCCGCGAACTCGCGAGCTGCGCCACGTGGCGCTTCGGCCCGCGCGTTCCAAATTCGTCTCCGCGTGGCTCGTACTCCTGCACAATCCTCTCACAGCCTCGACGTTCTTCCAGAGCAACGGGTGACAAGGAGGTGTGTCAACCAGGTCCTTCTGACTGATACAAGCGTGTACAAATGCAGCGGTCCTTGCAAGAACCGAAGCTGGGGTGGCTCAGTCTTTCTTAAATCGACCATACAGGATGCGACCCAGTCTCGTCGCGTGCATGGGCGTGCTCAATCTGGGAAGGGACTTATTGGCAGCTTATGCCCCTCTACCTTACACGGATCCGTGGCATTGGACTTTGTACATCCGGTTATCGTTGGAAGGTCACCTTCTCACGGCCCCTAATATGTCGTTTTCCAATAGCAGCCGCAACATACAGCTCCGCGGCTTATTGCTACAGGCTGAGTGTAAAACGTATAGCCAAGCTTATCGCCGCTCAGAAATTCTCCTTTCGGATCTCTTTGTGACTGTTAATGGCAAACTACACTACAAGTCGGATCTCGAAGTCGGCGAACAACTTGACGATACCGCAGACTTGCACCTCGAGGGTCACAGCGTCGAATCCTATAGCGAAGATGAGGACGTCTAGCGGGTAATCCACGCCATCGGTCGTCTTCGATCCAGGAGGGGTTAATCCTGCGAAGGGTGTTTTTATTTTTTTTCTTTGAGACACAAGGTTGACATTCTCGCGATTGAAAGTCTCATAATAGCCGTTGTCACAGATAAGGCGACGTGCGTATGGCTCCGTTGGAATCAGTTTTCGCGCTGTTTCCGGGTCTTGCACAGTCTCTTCGATCTTGCCTCTGATGAATGCACACGCCTCGTCGTTCGCTGCTCGGTCCGTCGTGTCGGAGAAAACGCCAAACATGAAGTAGAACCGGTTGCCAGCGATGCCGACGCGTCTGTTGCGCAAGTCCTAGTGCTCGGACCATGCTCCTGTGTGGTAGACTTCGCCCTTGAAAGAGTCGAAGTTGGGGATCTGAGAGTAGTTCTTCTCAGTTAACGAACCGAGCGCCGTGAGTAGGAATCATCTTGTAAGCGACGCTCCATTTGATGCTTCGACTTTACAGACGATGCTTTCTTCGTCGAATTTCCCACCTAAAAACTTGGTGTTGAACTGGATGTGTTGGCGCAGATCATGTTTGTCGAGTATGTGGGAGAGATATTGTGGAAGGGTTGAGATGTTGATTGATCCTTAGAGCTATGGGCTAGAATCGATCGAGACTATATAGTAGAAGGGGATAGCAGTGAAGGGTTAGGGAAGCAAACTGAGCTAACCGAATGAGCTGGACAATCAGTGCAGCGGACCGTTAGCAAACACTGCAACGGACCGCTAGCAGCAAACAGATGGCGATCGGTGGATACCTTCACTCCCTCCGACAGATATGCTTGGACTTCCGTCTGCGTGAGGTAGTGGTTCTTCCACGGCCAGGTTTGCAAGAGATCCTTATCCCACGAATATCGATATGTAAAGGAGTACACATCTGACGATGCGCCAGGATATCTGCTCCGATGCCACGTTCCCCCAACACCACTAGCTACTTCAAGGAGGACCTTGGGCCCTAATTGGCGAAGGCTTTACAATCGATAGATGCCGCCGAAGCCGGCGCCCACTGTCTAGTCATTCAACACCAATAGACACACCATTAGATTTCAAAGAGAAGCCCTCCAGTCCTCAAATAACGCTTCTGATGCTCTCATGTCTGCAAAACTCTCTTGTCGTTGGTATAGGACACCATTCGTTTCGAACACCTACTTGATAACTTCCCTTGCATCACCACTGGCCGGTCTAATTCGTGCAACAGCTAAAAGCTCCACGTCGGCCAACGAGAGCTACACCAGTGAAAGCTACACCCGTTTCGAGCGACGGAACGGTAAATTGCATTTGCATTATCTTCTTAGCAACCACGATCCAGTTGGACGAATCCGTCGAAGTATCGTCTTCGGTAAGCACAGCAAATGGAGCCCTTTGACCTACCGCTGCAATCACAGCTCCCGATGATCCCTGGGCTAAGTTCCTCTCTCTTGTTCGCTAGAACATAGAGCAAGGCCTTGGAGGGTGTGGAGGCGGCACAGAGCTACATCTCCTTCACTCACTAGCCATCAAAACGAAAGAAATCAAAAGACCGTCGATGGCGCGAGCGTAGATAATGTACGCGACATCTTAAAAACTGGGTGCAGAGTGAAAAACAATAGCAGAGCTTGGAGGGAATCTATTGCGAGGAAGATTTTGGAGAAGACGAAGACGAGAATTTCGCAGATACACCTACTTCTATCTGTATCCTGGGTGTTGGGGAGAGTTGTATGGACCAAAAGGTCAGCCTTGGAATGTTTTCAGGCGTTGGCAGGGCTGTCGTTGGCAATACTGCCAAACCCTGCCTATAGTAGGGGAGACACATAGTGCAGAGTGATGAAAGAATGCGAGATTGGAACAAAAGGGACAGGCGCGATGCCAGAACACCCACCCTGCCTGCTTGAGGGCCTATCTCCAGGATTTGGGAGCGTTTTTCAACTTAAAGAGCCGCACGTCGGGGTAGAAGTAGATCTCAGCTTGACAACGTATACCAGATTGTCTAAATGAATTGCAATATGACTGCGTACGCGGTCACCAAGAGCAGGCTAACCATTAAACGAGTGCTGACGTACGGCCTGGAGAAGTGGAGACGAAGGCTTTTCTTGGGGGACGACGATCGCTGAAAATCTGTTCGTGGTCACTCAACGCGGTGCGCAACCATTCACGAACGAACTGGTAGCACAACGCAACGCGGGCGAGGCTTTGCTTTGTTACTGTTTCTATGTTTGATGAGCACAAGCAATACGGCGCTTCTACGAAGGAGCTCGTATTCTTTGAGTCCCCGCACAGGCTTCCCCAACATCCCAAATCTGTGTTGATTCAATCAATACCACTCTTTGCACCCCACTCGCTCTACATTCCACGTATCAAAATGAAACAAAAGTCTACTGTTACACGTTGCAAACCTTGAAAATATAAAGGTGTCACACCTTGTATAAATAAAACGTTGAGGCGTGACTTGACGCCTGCGAGAGAACGTTTGCTGTTGGTGCTGCGCTTGGTGGGGATGCCAACCCTCAACACATTGCAGACCTCTTCCCAAACACTGCTACACGCTCAGGTATATCCAAGCATGTGGCAAGGGTGAAAAAGCGAGCAGAAGAAAATGGAGTAACAACTACAGATGCTTCACTTTTTGAAACAGAGTCTATCGCCAATGACTTTCTGAAAGTTTCCTACATTAATAAGCTAAGTTGACCAGGTCACAGTCCTGACTTGAATGCCTCAGAGCATGTCTGGCCATGGATCAGAGGAGGCTTACTTAACAGAGTTACATAACTCCGCTACAGGGTCTCAACAGATGTTACCAAGCTTACGTGTACAGTCCTTGGGCTAGCATTGTCACACTGTGACACAGGGCTGATCAGCGTTAAACATTATCTCACATCCATAAGAGCTTCCTACAATCCAACATACCCTATGGCTTACCTAACCCAAGACTAGCTACCTTTGAGGCTCACAGGCCACCTGTATATATTCCCCACAAACCTTGAGGCTCAGCCATCAAGGATTCGTCTAATATCATCCCATTTGGTCTCAGACAGCGCCAATCCGTTCTGTTTGATTGCCTGTCTACAGTGACCTCACAGGCCTCCTACATAGTGCCATCTTAATCCTCTGCCTCAGGCCTATCTTTTCCTCTAGAAAGTGTAAACCCAAAGAACGCTCCTTAAGTTATTAGGCAAAAGGTGGCAGGGCCAAAATCTGCTTAAACACACAAGTCAAAAACACATACTTTTTGGGCTTGTATCTCACACCTTCAAAAAGGCAAAAGGAGCGTGAATTTTTGGCAAAATCTCTAGACTTTTACCGCAGAGGCTCCCATTAAAGCTAGGAAGTGTCAAAGTAGGTGAAAGTGAGCTTTTGAAGTTGCAACTCACCAAAGCCAGACCCAAAGTTCTCACTCTCCTTCGCTCCGCTCACATGCGAAGTAATCAACGCTCATTGGCTTAGCCTCACGCACAGGCTCGCAACGGGCTGGGAAAGTACGAAGCGTCTGATTTTTTTAAAATCAGCTAAGCCCACGCGAATGCAGCCACTCTAAAAACAGACACCCGCCTCAGGGCCCACCCAAACTCCACCGTTTGACATCATCTCGCTCATCACTCCAACCACACTGCATCCACACTCCAACCTTCCGGATGACAACGCGCCGTTGCTGGAACGTTTGGGTGCTGGCACCCGGCCACCGGCCTTGCGAGAACGCATGATGCCCCATGTTTCGGACGTGTCGCGGCGCGTTCGGCTGACAAGCTGACGACGCCTGAAACCTCTTCGCGGCTCTGGGGCTGTGCATGTGTGGTGTGCAAGACGACTGGCTCCACTTTTAGACTGCGATTCGCATGCAACAGCCACGCTGACGATAGTGCCGCCTGTGATGCTAAGATGCTGTATGTTTATAATATCGCCGCTACCCTGGCCTTTGACGTTTTTGATCTATTTCGCTCTCTTTGAGGTTTACGGTTTACGAACAACATCACTACTGTCGCTTCTGGACTCCCTTTGTGACTGACGACTATTTGTTTGACGTGCAATCTCCATCGGCTGATATACCCATACTCGACCTCCCAGCACATCCATCACATTCCACACAGGATGTTCTTCAAAAGTATAGTGGCGGCATCCGCTCTCCTCTACTCGACCGCCACCGCACAAACAGCATGCAACAACTCGCCATCACTATGTTCGAGAGCATACAACAACATCACACAACTCGGAGCGCACGATTCGCCCTTCCTGCGTAACCAGAACACCTCCTTCTCCACCTCGGGCAACCACTACTATGACACAACAACACAACTTGACGCCGGTGTACGATTACTGTCCGCACAAGTACACAAGAGCGACAACGGCACCGGTGCAGACGCATGGCACCTCTGCCACAGCTCCTGCGACCTCCTCGACGCCGGGACCCTCGAGTCCTGGCTCTCAACAATCAAGATCTGGATGGACAAGAACACCAATGACGTCGTCACCGTCCTGCTCGTAAACTCCGACTCCGCTACTGCCTCCGACCTAGGCGCACAATTCAACTCCTCCGGCATTTCCGAGTATGCCTACACACCCCCGTCCACCAGCGTACCCACAACGTGGCCCACACTCGACGCCCTCATCGGCAACGGCACGCGCCTGATGACCTTCGTCGCCTCACTCAGCGACGCATCGACACAGTACCCCTTTCTGATGGACGAATTCACCTATATCTTCGAGAACAACTACGAGAATGTAAACCCCAGCAACTACTCTTGCACGCCCAGCCGCCCCACAGGCCTCACCACGTCTTCAACCGGCGGCCGCCTCTTTCTGATGAACCACTTCTTGTACGAGAACCAGCTATTCGGAATCCAATCGCCCAACGAGACGTACGCGAATACTACAAATGCGCAGACGGGTTATGGCAGCTTGGGCTCGAGCGTGAGCAATTGTACGAGTGTATATGGCAAGAGGCCGTGGGCTGTGCTGGTTGATTTCTTTAATGTTGGACCGGCGATTGCGAGTGTGGATGCTGCGAACGGTGTTACAGGGTCGATCTCGGGCAGGAGGAGTTTGAGCACGGCGCCATTGACGCAGGAGAGTGAGAGCGGTGTGGCGAAGGCGCAGGGGAGTTTGTTGGCGGTGGTTGTGGCGGTGGTCGTTGCTGTTGGCTTCGGTATGTGAGGTTCTTTGGTGACATCGATGTCTTGTTTTGTTGCATGGCGACGGCGTTTGGGTTTTGGTGAGTCCTTGGACTGCCACACTGCATAAAAGGCTTGGAAGCCAGTGTTGGTCATGAAATGAAGGTTTAGATACCATACTCGAAACGAATTACGATTCTGTTGAACTACAACCAATACATGTAGGGTTGCACTATCCGGAGGAGCATTTTTGATTCGGCGGATCCCCTCTGTCTCGAGTAGCACTAAAGGCCAGACACGAGATCGAACTTATGGGAGGTCCTCAGTGCCGATCTGTGGGCCGTCTTCATACTGACAAAGTCTCTGAAGAATACAAAGGTTTTGGGATGAATGTGGTACTCATACCAAGTACGAAGAAAGAGTTCACCGAGTAAACAAAACGTTCATCCAGAAACCTCACATGCCTGTCGTGCATCCATGTCCATCTTGTCTGAACAGAGTCAGTATCTGTCACGGTTTGGGGTGCTCCTGCCTGTTGTACCTCACCTCCATGAGAGTGACTGCCACGTCACACTAGCGTTGTTTAAAGATACTCACCTATATATACTGTTCGTAGCTTCACCCAATACAACTCCAGTACAATCTTCAACTTCTTCCCTTTGCGTACAGTTCTTCACTGAACTCTGACAGTATCGAAGATCAAGAAAGGAATTTTGTGAACACACATTCTGGAGATCCAAGCGAACGTTGCTGTGAGAGGGGGCCAGCTAGGGATACCAACTGCTCTCTGAGATGAATGGATTGGTGGAAGGAAGGTTCAGGCTTGTTGGAGATAAGGGTGTGAAAGAGACCAAGTGTGGGAATACCACAAGTAGTAGAAAGGATAGTGTTGCGATTCATGGCTTAAGCAAAGCTCGTAGACACTATTCAATTGGTTCTCAGGGATGAGCAGAGGTACAGAAAGCCGTAGGGGTTGACAGTCACCTAAGCAAAGCTCGGGTGGTCAGGGGTAGACCATCCGGGCGGGTTGTAATAACCTTCGTAATAGTCAGGTAGTCGTCTAGTCAAAGACCGTGGCGACTGGTTGCAATGAGTAGTACAGAGTATACTGTCTGGCTCGAGAGCAAGTGAGATTCCAATAACAAAATTGATTGACGAGCTTGAACACGATGCCATAAGGGCAGCGTGTCTACTTGCTATATACATGAGCAGAGGATTGCTCAGATTGCTCGGATTGCTCGGTACTGAGTATACTGATCGTATTGAGTATACTGACCGTGCCGAGTATACTGACCGTGCCGAGTATGCCGTTCGTACCGAGTATACTGCTTGTGCCGAGTGTTGCCGACGCGGCCCACTGCTTGGGTCAATTGATACTACAGTTCCTCGGCTCCTCTTGTATCGTTGCGTAGTCCTGTCTGTTCAGTGTTGTTGCAGGTTGCCCTTTGATCGTAACACCATCATCCTACCATTTGTCAGCTTGCATCGTTGATTGCATCATCATCTTGTACCCCACTTTAGCTAGCCACCCATCTAGATATATGAACCCCCTTCTTCCCACCTCTAGATAGTTCTTACTCATGCTTGCAATTCAATTCACTTCAGCAACTCATTTCTCAACTCATTCCTCACTGATCCTTTGTGGTATCCCCACACTTGATCCCTTCTTCATCATCTATCCTTTCTATCACTTGTGGTATTCCCACACTTGGTCTTTTCTACACCCTGATCTCCAACAAGCCTGAACCTTCCTTCCCCCCATTCATCCATCTCAGAGAGCAGTTGGTATCCCTAGCTGGCCCCCTCTCACACCTATCATCACAAGCTTCACTTAGGTGATAATTAACCCCTCTGTTCCTTTACGCCTTACTTATCCCTGAGAACCAACCAAACCGTGCTTCCAAGCTTTGCTTAAAGTACAATTTCAACAAATACGTCTCGTTGGACACGCTTGTCAGCAAGGGTCCGCTGCTTTTGACAGCAGTCATCAGCCAAAATCCGGTGATGCATGAAATGGAGGATAATCCGGAGCTTTTTGGCTGGTAATATGACAACTTTTGAGCGCTTCAGTAGAGGTGTTACTACCCAATTTTTGGCTGCAACCTCAAAACTCAAAGGTTTAGGTACTGGGCGCATTTTGACTAAGGATCGATAGGATTGCTGTATTGTACTAGCTGTAAGCTCAGCAAGGGGTACCCACTTGTTTGGCGTTATTGTGGTCGTGGCTGAGTTGCGTAAAGGAGTGCTGTGAAGAGTACAGATACAATCCAGAGACAGAGTAAACAGGTTTTTGATACTGATCTAAGCACATTCAGGGGTTGCTATTTGTCCGATCTTCACCACTCCACTAGCACCATGCTGCTCCTTGCTAGCGTTTGGTGAGAGAATCAAATCTCTACGGTAGAGCTGGTTCGCTGTCCCGGTCATGGTGTGTACCTGGTCTTTTTGAAACGTCTATAGTTGCTTTGAGATTGGAAAGAGCGATGCACTAAAACTTCGTGCAGTCCCTTAGGTACTCGTATGCTGACAGAAAGAAGACCCACGTAACCTGACTGCCTCCTATCGCTCATGGGAGACGCGCGCCTCTCTTGGAATATCAAAGATAAAAAAAATGTGGAGTTTGACTTTGGATTAGATATTAAACTAGTGACGCTCAAACTTATTCTTCTGGACGCTAATGTCGAACCTTTATTTCTTCTCCGTCTCGATAGCTTGAACAATCTCGGCCGGTGCCTCATCCTCGTACACCATGAACTCATCATCGTTGATGCCACGATGTCTCCAGACAAAAACGGCAGTCTGTGCAACGAGAGCGATGGCAGGGCCAGCCCAGACCCACTGTCGGTTAGATTAGCAGGAGTCGGGTGCAATGTCTTAGGAATGAGACCACTTACGATGAGATAGGGATCCTTGATGGCGGGGATCAAGAGCTCAGCGAGCGCCTGCGAAAGCGCAGTGTTGAACAGAAATAGGGCCATGACGATCGACTTCATGTTTGGTGGAGCACGAGCATAGGCCAACTCATAACCGGTGATGTTGACGAAGACCTCTGAGATCGAACCCAGCATGACGTTGGGGAGCTGCCACCAGATGGTGATGGGCGAGACTCCATCGCAGTCGGATGCGTAGTAGCCACAGGGAGAAGTCTTGTAGACCCGCCACTGAACAATCGCGCCAACTGCACCAGAGATGGCGGCGATGATGAAACCAATTGTGATGCGGTTGATGCGTCCAAACTTGATGTTGTAGCGCCTGAGGAGAGGGTAAAGGCCGTGACTGAGGATAGGCGTGAAGGCAATGATCGTCAACGGGTTGAAGTGGCTGAGCAAGTCGTTCGGTACGCCCTCCGTGGTCATGGCAGCGCCCTGGTTGGATTGAACGGCGCCGATGCCACCGTCATTCAGGTACCAGAGAGGGAAGTACAGGAAGATCTGGCAAGCTTCAAGTGTACGGTAGACGTCAGCGACAGACTTGTCGGTCCAGGTAACAGTGCGCCCCTTGGCGGCGAGTGTTGCCGGTCGTGCAGCGTCCCAGTATCCCTTGCCCCAGAGCTTGCCCTTGTTGCCCTTGATGGCAGCACCGATAATCTTGAAGAACTGCACGAGCTCCGATCCCACTGCCGGCTTCTTGACCAAGCGCTTGTTCATGAAGATCAAGAGTAGTGGCAGCAAGAAGTAGACAATGCCAGGGAGCAGGAAAGCAATCCAGAAGCCGAGGTACTTTTCTGCGTAGGTTGTTGCGATAGCAAAGAAGGCTCCAACGTTGATGAATCCGTAGAAGATGAGCAGGATGCGCTGGATCGTGGTCTCCGGGTCGACGATAACCCTCTCTCCGCTCTTGAGGGTCTTTGTGTAGGGCTTTTGGTGCTCATACTGATCAAGCAGTGTAGGTGCGACAAGAGGCTTGAAGATACCGGCACCGATGGCGAGCAGGATGAAGCTGATTAAGAAGGGCGCAACACCCTTGCCAGCCTTTAGCAGAGCAGGCGCAGCTCCCCCAATCATGATGATGTGAGCGACACCACCGATGAGGACGCCCCAAACGATACCCTTGAAGCGGCCAATCTTAGCATCAGCCAGCCAGGCACCGAAGATTGGGATGGTGTAGGACAAGAATGTGAAGAGAATGGTCATGGCTGATGCGAACTGAAGACCTTGGTTCCTACATCCCGTTAGCAGCGTTTTTTTTTTGGTGCTCAAGACCTCAACTTACAATGCACCAGCATGACCGTTTGGATTGCTCTTCGGTACAGCACCTGTTCCGTTGCCATCTTTGGGAAGAGGAAACTGCATGTAGTTGTTGAAGACACCCTTCGCGCCATAGTAAGACGCACGTTCGGCAAGCTCGACAACGCAGATAAGGTACGCGACGGGAGGGATGCCACCAGCAACCTTTCTCAATGTTGCCTGTTCTTCCTCCGTAGGTGCAGTGTAGTCTTCAGCGGTCCGGGTATGGCGAGAGGATGCAGATGCAGACTCGAGATCCTTCTCCTGGAGGCCATGGTTGGCAGCTATGGAGTTATTAAGGACATGTTTCAAACTTCTGAGAGACAGAAAGGGCCTTACCCATGATTCCGGCTTGTACTGAAGAAACGGTTACTGGGAAGAAACAAGCTATGGGCGGTCGACAAGCATTCGACGAGACTTCTTGGGTGACGCCCACTTATACTTGAGCGCTTGGCTCCTCGGCTCTTCGCATTATCCAAGGTACCATTCATTAGGGTTGTTCGCAATCCAGTGGCGCGCATTCCTTGTACACACCGATGGATGCGATACAGACGGACGTTATCCACCTTGGGCTTCTGCGTCGCCATTTCATTTGGCGCGGCTGTTCTAGAGACTAATGGCTTCATTTTCGAGGCATTGTATTTGTCTGAGCTCCTCCGCTTATGAGGGGTCGCGAACCCATGGTTATCATATTACAGTGGGCCAGACAGGGTGAATGTGCCAGAAAGAAAAAAGCACGTCCCAGATTCACCATCGGTCTCCACAATTGCGATAGTCGGCAACGGCGCGGCTACTGGGTTCAGTGGAGCAACTTGTCTCAACGCCGGAAAGCTTGCGTATTCGTGATTCCATCTCTCGATATTGTCGGACAACTCCGCTGCTTTTCTCGAGTGCACACCTGTGAACTTGGTGTTTGTTTGTGTCACACCTCCCCGCACTACGTATTCTTGTGTCCGTTCTCGCCCAGTCACAGTGTCGAACGGATTTGAGACCTCCTCGACACAACGTTCGGCACGTTAGCTTGACAACGTGATTAAGTCGCGGCATGATGTACGATGAAATCTGTGCGAGCAATATGCACTGTGAGAGTGCCGGCGCGGCCGAGTCGCGCGAAATCGCAATACTAACAGTGTCGACCTTCCTAAGTGGTGTTATCGGTCGCGCGACCTAGTGCTCAGGTGTCTTGATAACAAATCCTCCTGCTGGGTAGCTGTGAAGATGGTGGGCTCAGTCCTAGTATCTGCTTAGCAAGCGCTGGCGGTATGCAATAGCACAACCAATGGCCTGATTATCGGGCATGTGTGCTGATATAGAAGGTTCAACTCCACCTCAAAATCGGTGATAAGTTTTGAGTCGGCGTACTCATACATTCGTAGATGTTCCGGGCCGCTGAAACCTGAGGTATCTCCGCGTCTGTAGTCATCTTCATGTCGAGCATCATGGGAGTCAATGATGCTGTAAAACTGCAGCTGGCATCACCGATCGCGTAAACACCGTGGTAAGGTACAAATGAGGGTCGTGAATAAAGACGATCGTGTTGTGGATCGGGTACGGTTACTGTAATGTTGTAAGATGGGAATCATCAATGTCAGCCTAGATGTTCATCGGCAATGGTTCACTAGCGCGCCGATGACGTCGACGCATCACACGCGACTTCAGCTCTCAAACATCACCCATCATTCTAGTGACTTCAACTTACCTTGAAGATATGCCTCGTCTGAATGAAAATACAGAGCGTCAGCTCCATGAGCTGGAGCATGGCGCACGCACCAGTACTTTGAGAGCTTAGAACAGCTTCAGCAACTTTGCTTTGCGTGAAAAATGTGCTTGAAGTAGCTGTAGGATAGATGTAAGTCCAATTCTTTCATGCTTCACAGAACTCTAAATGCTAACAACTGTGTTAGAAGATTATACTAATGCTTCCAAGCCTTGCTGCTGCATTCACCGCCTGTGCCAACTTGCTTGTGTCCGACATCATCCGCGTCATCTCTCTCCTACCTTTCCTCAGCCGCAATCTTGACGAGAAGCTCGCTATACTTCACAAAGGGCCACACTACAACAGCACCATAAGCACCGGATACAACGCCGTAAACCAAGCGCTGGACGATGGAACATAGTGCTGGCATACGGCAACTTCTTCGACCAAATTGTGAGGTTTCTGCTCATAGTGATCAGCTTGTGGATCATTACAATGACCTATAGCAGAACCATTGGAGACAAGAAGTAAGTGAAGTGCAAGTATCGCAGGAGGTACATCAGCGAGAAGGCAAAGAGGTGTGTCAGTTGCACAAGCTGGTTGGATGGTAGGGAGGACAGGTGATAGAACAACGCGGTGATGTGTAAAGATATGCCAGTCGGAATGGAAAACATGCAGCTGGACTCTCTTGAATCCTGGACCGCGAAACAAAAAGCAGAGTTGGCGAAGTCTTCTTCGTATAGAGTGAAGCCCATGGCGAAGAGCGATCTACATACTGAATCGAGCAAACTGCAAAATCCATTGTAATGCACATTACCAAGCGGCTACATTGATAATTGCAGGCGGTGTAGGATCGAGCAAAGATGAGCGTTACCAAGCGACAGGAGGTGCATCGTGTAGTTGGACTTTAAATTGCACTCGAAACCTGCGTTTCCAGTACCCGAACCCTGCGATTCGATCACGATGGTGTCACAAGCGTGCACCGACTTTGACAGCGGCATCTCTGACCGTGCTGGCGCAGAGCAAAGGTATGACAGCACGGTAATAGTTACGAACCGCACCTCTTTCTCAACTACAATTGACAGAGTCAGATGTGCAACAAGAACTGCGAATTGCAAGACCGGCTGGCGCAGCCTTTACAGATAGTTTTGATGTGCGCTGAGGCTTGACGCGGCGAAGCTCGTACTCCCAACCCATCCGTATCTTGGCATTGGATCGACATCGCAGCTTGCCTCTATACGAGATATTGGGAACGATGATGTTCAAATACAGTTGTTCTTCGTGGTTTCCAGTTAGGCACAATGTACTATGACATACACTACACTGCATATCTTCTACCCATGGGATCCTTCTCCATTCCAGGTGCACGCACACGCTGCCGAGGTTCCGCATCATGCATATGCAACCCGCGTCGTGTCGCTCCGCCTTCCTTCCCATACCCACATCCACCTCTTGAAGACATCCAAGACATGCCCATCTCCACACCATCGCACGTGAGAAGCACCAACCCGGCTTACCCATTGTGCACCTGAAACTGCCTATCACCTGCGCCTCCTCGTGACGGACTCGCGCCGAACAATGGTCCGCACGTACATACCATTACGCACCGCCGTTCTTGGAAGTGCTGTGGAGGGTGAAGATCATCAGGATCAACTTATGGGTTCAAACTCCGCGGGAGGAGCCGTGGTGGGTGCCCTGCGCCTGATGGCTGAGACATAGACTTTGTGAAGGTACAGGTGATAAGTGATGCGATGATAGGTGCAGCTGAAATGTACAGCGTGAAAGAGTGTGTTGAGCTGAAGGTTCTTAGACCAAACACTGCGATGCCGAATGCCGATTGCGATGCTCGTATAGTAGAGAATACTCAGCGGTAAACGCGGTTCTTCGTCTGCAAAGGCGGCGCGAAGCTGCTATGAGGGATGCGGGGTGAGGTCACATACTTTGCGCTAAGTATGATGTGCATAGCTGGCGAATGCAAGTGTGGGGGTCAGTGTAGGACTGACTCGCGCAAATGTTCGGGTGAGAAGTCACAGCAACAGAAAAGTTTCAAGTCATGATCATCATGATTTTGACATTTCCTCATACCTCATCCCATCGCTTAATCTGATGCGGTCGCGTGTAAATGCTCATGCCTCAACGCCGTTCTATGCAAGTCTGGCTATGCTGTGCAGCAAGCCCAAATGTTACGAAAACGCTGGCTAATGCTAAGTATGCGATGCGATCGAAACCACTAAACGCCTGTAAATGCACCAATATGAAACAAAAAACGCCAGCAACACCCCCTAATGCAGATGCGCGATACTCCTCCTACAACCTTGCTCGTTCTGTCACATCGGCTCTTGCTCTTGACTTCGACCGAGTCGATGACCTCCGGCGTTCTGCGCCATCCTTGGCCTTGCGCGTCTTTGCGCGTCGAACGACCACCTCGTCTTCTTCTGACTCATCTACAGTGAAGAGCTCCGGACTTGGCTCGCGCCAGGAGTGGCGGTGGCCGGAAAGCGTGCGTGATGATCTTTGTCGGCGATTACGCTCCTTGCGTTGTACAAGCTCTTGAGCACGACCGCGTGTTGGCTCCGTGACAGTGATCCGTGGTGATGTATGTGCGATTGTTTGTGGCGTGTAGTTCAGACGGTCGTCATCGAGACCCATGAAGGACTCCTCGTCCTCCTCGGGTATCGCTGGAACATGGTATCGTGTGTGAAGTTGTGTATGGTTCTGCTTGACGTAGCGCGCCCACTTGCTCGACACGTTGGACCTGAACTTCGATGCCTTGCTGGTGCGTGGGCCGTCGACAATGCCTGCACTCAGCGACATGGGATCGTATGGGTCATCTTCCTCACTCAGGGGTGTAAGGAAGTGCGCAAAAGGCTCTTCATCGATGTCTGGAAGCCCAGGGTCATATGAAGACTCCACCTCCACACTGTTGATGCATGGTGGAAACGAGAAAGACCGGGTGGGGGCTCGTAGGTAGGATGGCATCTTTAATATGAGATCTTTGAGTGTCTGGGAAAGCAGAGAACGGCGGACCAATAGTGATGGTGTAGCACTGGACTCGACTTTTACGACAGCAATGTTGGACGGTTTCCCCTTCTTTTTCCCCGGCTCACAGCCGGTCAACGCCAAACACAGCAAGGTGTCTGCAAGTACTGTTCGATGAGAACAGAACTGGAATAGTGACAGATGGTCTCTGTGATCCTGCCAGCTGTAAAGGCGGGTTAAGTGAGACTTATATACGTGACTCTGGGATACGAGTTACAGGAAGGCGCAGTAGTCGGGGTGAGACAGGTGGGTGGTAGTGGTGTTTGCCTAGTGGAGGACAGATCGAGAGGCAACAATGTTGAGATGGGAATTGGGTAGCCCTTGGTATCCTGAAATTCCTCCTCAAGCTCACCGAGTGTTTAAAGCAGATTCGGAGGATCCATGCAAGACTATATAGACATTGGAGTACTGGACAAAGATACCGCCCATGCAGCTGTGTCCAGGATACCCTACATTAGCGGATCAGCACGGAATACTTGGGTTTACTATCGACGAAAAAGGTAGGAATTCCAAGGCGCAGGGAGAAGAATGACAGGTCAAGTGGGCATTTTGGCCGAAGGGGTGTGGTGCGAAGGCCCAGCATTGGGTGCCAGATGACTAGTGGGATATCGCACCTGCAGGCTGCACGCTCAAATGCACTGACCACCAGACAATGCAGCACGGAGAACTGAGCGTTGCTGCAGGTCATGTCGATCGAAGGTCCCACAAAAAGCGCCCGTACTCTTGCTGCTGAAGCGCCAGCGCGAGTCGCGCAACCGAGATGCAGCAAAGGTGAAGGACGTGAAGGGAAGGGATCGTAGGAAAAAGGACCGCTAGTCCACCAGCGCTAAGTGCGGGGCACACACCGACATCGCGACATCTGATCTAGGACCCTCACTCCCAGCCTCATTCTCACACACCTACGCTTGAGCCCGTTTAATCAAAGCCATTCGTCCCAAAACGCTCACCACAGCTCGCTTGTGGCTATGGGCAAGCTGACAAGGCACTCGAAGATGCTCTCCATGCTCATCACCACCGGCATGCGCGTTCTCTCAAGGAGGTGACGAGTCCGCTTGCGTGAACGAGTCTGCCGCCTGATGCCCAAGATAGCTACCTAGTCCTGGTATTCATTGACTAGAGTGTACTGTCGAACAGTCATAGACGGACAAGAAACTTGGTAGAGGTCTCAAATGACGCGGTCGCAGTACACCACAACAATTTGCAATTCATTGCAAGCGACAACATCATTACAGCTATACCGACTATTTGCCTGGTGTGGGGGGCGCTTGCCCTGGCAGATTACCATATGATCGGATGTCGCAGAGTTGCTCACCAATGGTCAGCCACCTTTTACTGGCCAGCCAGCCAAGTTTCTCCAATTTCGCCCGGAAACGAAGAAGGCCAGCCACTCAGATTCCAGGAAGGCTCTTTTTGACCACCTGTTCGAGGAGACTCGGCTGTTAGCGCGGCTGAATCTTGTCAGTAAGATTCATCCTCCGGCAGTCTCTACCGACACATGACTGTCGATGCCATCAGCCTCCAAACTCAGCTTACGACTTCCTGTTTTCTTCGACACCATCAGGAAAGAAGTGTATTGATAATATTGCACGTTCTATCCTGGTTCATATCACCTGAATCAGAACCTTATCGCTCTAAGGCTGTGTCACGTCGTGCCTGATACGAATCCCTTGTTCGGAACACCCGACAGACATTGTGACCACCTCGTACCACTTCCTCGTTTCCAATATCGAGATGTTGAGATCTGGACCTCGACCACAACCTTGCGTACCTACTTCATGCGCAACAGATGCCGTGCCTCTTTCTTGATACGCGCTCGAAAGGTTGGTGGCAACTCGAGCATGACCATGCTAGAACACTCAGCTTACCTTCTTGATCTCCAAGGGCCGTGTTCAAGCGAGAGAGGTCCCGTACTAATCATAGTACCCTCTCCGCATCTGGCATCTTCGCACCTCTTCCGCCCCGCTTCTTAGTTGATTCTGTCGCAATGACATTGGCTCACGAAACATTCAGTACAAAGCAAGTCCGACTGAGGTTGCAATCCTACAACGTCCTTGTGCGTATCGCCGTCCCTCAGAACATTCACCGCTTTACACCGCTACTCCGCATCAGCCAATAAGGAGCAAAACCAAACAAGCTACTCGCTTACGTCCCGCTAGCATACAAAACCGTAGCCTGGGTCTCCCAACAGCCTCACGACGACTCTACACAATGTGTCGTCCTGGTGGGGCACTGACGTCTGCACATCGTTTCCAACTCTTAACGACGTCGCGGTCGGATCCTCCTCGGGCTCTCAAACCCGTTCGGCGTTTTTGACAAGGTACCCAGTCCCTACCACTCACACCTCAGCGAACAACGCCGAACATCTGAGGCTCACACCGCTCACACGATGGCCCCGAGTACTGTAAAACGTGAACCCCACCTGTAGCGCACGTCTCTACTAGTCTGCAATTGTGAGCCACACACTCCAGCCCCACTCACAAGTTTCATACCACGATCTGTCAAGTCACACATTCGACATCTCCCAGCACGACTCACGATGCTGAATAATGCCCGTCTCCTCTCCCCCAGTGCGAGATCTGCAATGCGGTCAATTTCTTCCAACAGCTCGTCCAATTGTCTGGTGCGGCTGGTCACCCGATCTTAGCGGACTTGTTTGAGTAACTTGACATCCTCCAGGCTTATGTGATGTATGCAACCTCTGGCTTCAGGCCCTAGGATCGCATCACAGTGCCTGCTCCGTTCTTGCTCCACTTCCTTGAGCTCTTCGCCCTTCGCTGCCGAGTTTGACCTGGTTTCTCAATTCTCCCTCGAGGGCCCTCATATCGGGATGGGTGATGCTCGGCGAGAACCCCGTGGTTCTCCGGAAGATGTCAAGTTCTGAATGCAAGGCGCAGTTTTCCGAGCGCAAGGTGTTACCTCATATTGGACCTCATGGTCTCTTCCCCTCCTTCTTTCTGCCAGGATGGCTTCAGCATGGTATACCACTTCTCCTTCAATGACCAGTGGCTCAGGTTGGACATCATTGCCTTGCTGGCTTGAAAGAGGATCAGAGGCTGCCAGTCTTAGTTGGTCCACATAGAAAATATTATGAGGTCTTGGTGGAGTATCCAGGCAGACAAATGAGCGAGTACTTTGCATTCTTCCTGTCCAGCTTCTTACAGGCACGCTTTGTCTTGAAGTGCTTACCCAGTGATAGTCAAACTTTATCACCAACATGTAGTTGCTTAGGCTCTTTCTGGTGCTTGTTAGCCTATTGTTCCTGCTCTTGCTGTGCCTCTGCCATTGATGCTTGTGCCAGGTCAAAGACTTGCTTGAACTTCTTGATCATGGCATGAGCAACCTTCTTCCCGGCTTGTTCACCCACTGGGTATTCCTGGGTGTTGTGTGGTGCCTCTAGTTGAAGCATGTCAACATGGTATCCATGCTGAGGAAGAAGGGGCTGACTTTTGGTGGACGTTGCTCACAGTCAGGGCAAACCATATAATGGTAATGAAGTATTTTCGAGTGCAAATTTGGGGGTTTATTGCTTTTCTTGACGTTGGCAACAGGGCGAGGAAGAGGGAGAGTTTCGGTCACTGTAGAACAAGGAAATTTTATGAACACCTGGTGATGATCTTTCAATACTGCCGGAGGCAAACGACATGACGCTGGGGAGTATTTCATTAGTGATCAGAGTAACAGAGGAGATATGCATATCCTGGAAGGCCCTTTTTGGAGGTCAGGTATGTGTGTAGGATAGCAAGTGAAGAAGCTTGCTCTCTTCGAGGACAGAAAGCATATTTCCTTTGCTGATCGAGCGTTTGAGCGCGGCAGAAGACCAGAACATGGCAGGCAGATTTTGATAGCACAAATGCATTCGCAAGCAGGGGGGAACCTGTAGACATGGCTGTAGAACGTTCGTTTCGAGAATAAACAAAGAGGTCAAGGACGATGCCAAGAGTGCTTTTGCCGTCGTCAGGGAAGAAGCAGAACATGCCATTCATTCAAATCTCTTTGTGGAGCCAGGGAAAACGTCAGAACATCGAACTTGACTCATGTGATTGTGGAACGATGAACAGGAGCGCAGCTGACGAGAGAAACAAGATTGTTGGTGTTGGAGATAGCTTATGTAGACAAGTCGTCCATGCAAGAACAACCTTAGAAGACGGTGACCAGCATTTCGAGTCTGGAAGAAGAAGAACATCACAGTCTCCGAACGCACTTTTGAGTGACAAGAGAATTCACAGAGAGAAGAGCCGGCCGCATAGCCTGAACGGGGTGGCAGTTTTGATTGATTGCAAAAGGAGATTAGGCCATGCGTCTTGCTCGGTTGGAATTTGATTTCAGAAGCAGCAGAACATGTCTTTGACAGCTTTCATTATTTCGAGCCAACGAGCGCAGAAGATATTACAAAGTCCCACAGCAGGAAGCGGGCTAGACATGTAACGACGCGCCCAGACTTTGCGAAGATGAACTTCATGGCTGGAAACTCGAAGATCTACACAGACCATGGGGACGATTTTGGTTTTGGAAAGGCAAAGCAGGTCATATCCTTCTTGCAGAATTAGTTTAGCGTCGTCAGAGAAAGAGAGCAGAACACAAATAAGTTCAAGTTTGATTTTGAAGACGAAGAAGAGAAGAAAACATGATCTTTGAAAGGGTCGCATTTTGAAGAGAGTAAAAAAAGGAGGGATGGATCAGAGAGAACTGGGTTGAGTTACGCTTGTATAACTGGTCCTCGCATGTGAGCTAGACACGGTTTGGGAGATGATTGGAAGACGTGGGCGCTTGAAGTTGGTGCAAATGGTGTTCGTACATTGCAGGGTATCGCTGCGCTCGCTCTCGAAAACATAATATAACACCATATCATACAACTCTCACCCCTTCTTCCCCTTCGCATGCGCATCAACTACCTCTGCCAACTCCTCAAGCGCATCACCGTCCCCATGCCCATGCTCCTTCTTCACGATCTTCCTCCCATACCCCCACTGCTCACCCATGGCCTGCTTAAGGCTAACCTCCTTCTTCCTATCCGCCCTCCTCCTCAACCTCGGATGCCACAAGTGCCCATCCAGCTTTCCAAACCCAAGCTTATGCGGCTCCGTAAGCAGCGGACTACCCCACACCCTATTAACTTCTCTTACATACTCCGCGTACGGTGTAGTATTAGACTGCTCCATGATGCGGTTTGCTTTGATGCGTGAGTGGCCGTGGCCGAAGAGGTTGATGAACTGTGCTTGTAAAGCTTTGGTGACGGTGTGAGGGTGGATGTGCACGTTCAGGTCTCGTAGCTGCACGAGTAGTTTGAGGCCGACGTTCCAGTTCAGGCGTTTGAGGATGCCTTTGCGGAGGAGGTTGCGTCTGTGATGCCGTTTTGCTGCGATGGAACCGAGAATAGATTGCTCAAGCGGCGCAGCGCGGAGGAGACTGGCGCGAAACCCCCATACGAGGATGCCTTGTTGGAACGAGGGTGGGAAGAGGGCGCGGACTGGATGGCGCTCATCCTGCTCCTGGGTCACATCGGCGGGGAAGTTGTAATAGTGTCGGTTGATCGGATACGAGCGGCGCAGCTTGTTCGTAGCATCGTCGAAGAAGGTGCTCCGCGGGAGGTCTGCGAACTCGGAGCTGTGCTGCGGTGCGTACCAGCTCAGTAGCCACAGGAGCAGGCGTTTGAGCTCACGGAAGCGGCTCTGCATGCCGAAGCGCCGTATTATCTCGTGCCAAGCTTCAGGAGGGACGCGTGCCATACCGGTTTCCAGGGCAGCGATGTAGAAGCGCGTGACGAAGCGTAGGTCGTCGAAGCCACGACGAGATGAAGGGCGGTGGCCGCGCTGCCGTCGTGACAACATGTCTCTGACAGACGCCATGGTAACACTTGACACCGTTAATCCGTGGCTGCGCATCTCGAGGAGGGTATTGAAGACGTCCCGTGGTGTAGATCGTCCGATGCGCAGCTGCAAAAGCAGGTTCCAGGACTCGCGGCTTGCGTCGTTGTGGAAGAGTGTAAGGATGGCGAGTGTGCGCTGAGCCTGTTTCAGGTCTTTCTGCTCGAGGTAGTAGGTCAAAAGCGAGCGCTGTGTGTCTGCGTCTCCGTAGACGTCTGGATGCTGGTCGCTCTCCAGTATGCTATGCACAAGGTCCCACTTCCGCTCCATTGCAAACTTCTCCAGCGCAAGGGAGAAAACCGAGCCCTGCAGTGCAATGCCCGCAGCTCGAAGCTCTCCGAACCGTCGAGGAAGGTCCGTGATTGGCTGCGTCCGCCAGGCCAGGGCAGAGACTGCCTGGGGACCGATTTCGTTTACGCCCACCATGGCCAATCCCTTGATAATGGACTCGGTCTGGACGGTCCTAGTCGCAAACATGCGCGCCGTAAAGGAGTCTTCGAAGCGCACAGGTGCGGTATCGCGCCCGAGCAGCCGTCGCATGAGGTCTTTGTTGAGGTTTGGATTCTCGCGCTTAGTCTTGTCGAAGCGGACGTTCGGATTTGAGAGGGCAGACGATTCGGCGGTGAAGATCTGAATGACGGGGTGGGCGGCGAGCGACTCGGAGGGAAGGTCATCTCGAAACGTGCAGAGGTTGTGCCACCGACGTGCCATCTTGATGTTCCCACAGTCAATGAGACGAGGCACAATCTCTCCGTATAGGTCACGCTCGTTGCTATTGCGGTAGATGTACAGCAGTGCTTCCAGCGCCGTATGCCCATAGTTCCGCGTTGAGCGTGCCAGCTCCCGCAGTGGAAGCGTCCTCGGTCGCAGCTTGACTAGCATCTGATGGTGATACTCCAGCGCGTCTGTTGGCTTGCGCACAAGCCAGTAGCCCATGATCAGGCTGTACACACGCGGGTACGTCTCGCCCTTCTCCTGCTGCAGCTCGGCCGCATGTTCGATAACAGCCTGCACGAGCTGTGGGTGTCGCGCGAAGGTCCCCCACAGAGACTGAGCATGGGCGCTGTTTTCGACTGGAAGGCGGTAACCTTCCTTGCGGCGGGCGTTCCATACCGCTTGTACGCCTCGCAGGCCATCGAGGCGCTCGTGGTGGGCGAGTTTGGCGGCCCATGTCTCGTCTTGGCCCTCGGCCGAATGCTCCTCGTCATCTCTTGGAAAGCCGAATTCTTGGAGGGGTTTCTCGTCTTGGCTCTCGACGAGCTTGTCGTCATCTCTCAGAAGCCCGAATTGTTCTGGAGGTTGTGCTGGTGTTGAGTCGATCTCCGCAGGGACATCATCGCCGAGCAAAGCCTTGAGGACGGTCTCACGCTCGCTGACGATAGCCTTTTGCTCGTTCCATCGCTTCCATTTGCGATTTGTTGACACTCCATGGCTCTTCGCGTATGTCCGGCTCTTAGCTGCAATGCTCTTAGCTGCACAGCATTGGATGGTCGTGTGGCATGCGGGCAGCTCCGGGGCGGTGACGATCGATCGCAGCAGTTTTAGGGCCGAGGGGCTGGCGAGGAGCCTGTCCAAGGCCGGTGGCATCAACTTCGAGGTAAAGGAGCGTGGAGGGAACCCATGGACCAACGGAGCGTGTGTGGTTTCCTCTTCGCGTTCAGGACGTCCAGAAGTTGCGGGCCCGATGCGGCTAGCCCTGCCAAGACTGACATCGTCTGCTGGATCATTCGACGCAACCTCACTTTGACCGACACCGCACCAAACCACCGATTGCCCCCGCGACACCGCACGTATAACTCTCCACTCTTCACAATGGCAGGGTAAGTCCTCTCTGCAGCTGCGCGACACGATGTCCGAGCCAATTGACGCCTGGCTGGCCCGCTGTCCACACCCAGTCATACCCTGTACTGACAGCCCCCAGCTGGGTCTTCCGCGAAAACCACGTTCCTAAATACCAGGCATACTTCCAGAAGAACGATGGCCTGAGGACCTGGGAGAAGGTGCGTTCGACTTGAGGGGGTGGGGATAAGCTGGAAAGAGACGGACGCGATTGGGCGCGGGGAAGCCGGGACATTGTGCGCACCAAGGCAGCGGCCGAATTGCGCAGCATCAGCTTGAGGGCAACAAGAGTATTTGGGAACAACGCTGACGAGTCACCAGGCCCGTGGCAAGTGGATGATCCCCGGCTACAAGGCTGTCCTTTACACCTCCTTCGGTGCCTCCATGTACATGATGGGCCGTCTTGTGCTTGTACGTCCTTGGCCAAAATCCACGAACTCGATGACTGACGGCTTTCAGGGACACAAGACCTGGTTCGGCAAGAACTAGGTTACATGCACGATGATATGCGCGGAGGCCGCGTGCGGCATCTCCAGTCAATGTACAAGCAATAGAGCCTGCAATACCAGTTCCTTTGTCGCCATGTGCTCGTGTGGTGCATGCAGCTGTGAGGACGCCTTCGAAGGCGCTGTCTGTCGTGAGCTCAGTGACGTGCAGGTGATGCAGTCGAATGCCAGTGCGTGGTCATACGATGCTAGTCGCAGTGAATGCTCCAGTGATGAAAACAAGCGCTCGATTTGTAGCAAGGACGCGCTCGATTCGTAGCAAGGACAAGCTCGAGATAGCTCGAGATAGCTCGAAAGAGCTCGAAAGAGCTCGAAATTGACGTGAAGTCCACGACGCATGAGCAGACCACCTGCAGCAGTTACACAGCGTGACGGCTCCTCGATGAACAGCTGGGGTAGCTCCCCGGGCCAGCATAGCTTCCCACATCGGTGCTAGCGCGGCCTTGCGTTAACCGAGTGCTCCTCCAAGCTCCCGCTGGCCTCGACCGCACGCCAGCGTCGCTCGCTATCCATTGAGGCATCAAGACACAATGGCTGACTTTGTCAAGGGACTGTTCGGCGCCCAGAAGCCCGTGGTGGCTCCTGCTGACGATGGTGGTGTGCTCCAGTCCCTGCGCAATGCGCAACCCCCCTCAACACCACGCGACCCATCACTGACATGTCCGCGCAGACTTCGCCGACTACGCGGGCGCGCCTGACCCATCGCCGGTGGACCACGCCTCGCTGACCACCTCGTCTGTGCCTGCGGCCGCGACCGGCGTTGCTGGCCGCCCCTACACGGCATGGTACCGCGTGTGGGAGCGCACCACGCTCGACGACTTCAAGCTGGAGATGTACATCCTGCCCTTCCTGCTCGCCCTCGTCATCGTCCACGTCTGGGGCACCAAGCGCAACCGCAGCAAGGCCCGCAGCTGGGCCAAGTCGCATGTGCCTGTCCTGCAAACCGAGTTCGTCCAGGTCGGCTACCTCAAGCCGGCCGAGGGTGCGAACAGCGTTGGTGAGGGCGACCTCGCTGGCGCCCTGACCGAGGCCGCGAAGCTCGAGAACGTCCTCCGCGAGAAGAAGGCCGACGAGTACACTACGTACGCGACCGGCCGCCAGAACGTCGCCTTCATCGATCTCAAGTTGACACTCGCCAAGCGCTTTAACCCCTTCTTGCGCTTCGGCGAGCAGATCCTACCGCTGTTCTTGGAGAGCTTCCCGCCCCCGCAGGAGCGCCTCGAGGCCACCGCGTACGTGTTCGACGGCCAGGAGACCAGGATCGCCCCGGTGTACGGCAAGACCGATGCGAAGAAGGTGCCCAACAGCTCCTTCGACGGCTTCGTCTTCGCTGTCGTGCACAAGGACATCATGAAGCGCCTGCGTGACGACCGCTACGACTTGTCCCTCACCACCACCCGCGACCACGCCAAGCTCCCCGTCTGGACCACCGTCATGAGCGAGAGCGCCGAAGTCACCGACACCCTCCTGACCCCCGAGCTCATCAAGGCCATCCAGGATGCCGGCGACGCCTTCGAGGCCCTGATCGTCACCGACCAGCCCATGGACCAGCCCAAGACGTGCGTCCCCCCCCCCCCCCCCCCCCCCCCGTCACACGCTCTTACTAACGTCTCCAGCCTCGACGACACCAAACCCCGCAAACGCATCAACCTCTCGCTCAAGCTGCAGTCCAACCACGCCAGCACGCTTCCCATCTTCACTCAGTTCCTGCGTCTCCCTGATGCGCTCGTGTCCAACGCACGCTTCCGCCCCGAGGCCCTGCGCCGCATCCGGCAAACGCGCGAAGAACAAATCGCCAAGATCCGGCGCCTGGACGAGGAGGAGAAGGCCGAGGAGCGCAAGCTGGCGGCCGACAAGCTGAAGAAGGAGCAGCGCGACGCCAAGCTGGGCCGCCTGAGTGCCGAGGAGCAGAGGAAGTTCCTGGAGAAGGAGAGGGAGAAGAAGAGTAAGAAGGGCATGAAGAAGAGCACTGTGAAGGCTTAGGTGGATTTCACGAATACGTTGCTCTTCTTTAGGGTTGGGGTAGCGGGTTGGGACGTACGTCGGCTTTGGGCTTTTTTTTAGCGTGCTGGCGGAATTGGCAGGTGTATTGCATTGGAGCGCTGGGTAGCGTCGTATTCCTAGACTGTGTGCGTGCGCTTTGCAACGGAGTGGGGGGATCGGTGAGGTAGAAGACGGACAGTTGTTGAAAAGTGAAAGTAATCGTTGAAACTAATCACTCATAAATTCCGCCGCATGTGCTCACAGAGTGTCTCGAATCCTCGATGCTTCCCTTGCCTCAGACCAGAACATGTGTGTTGAAAGTACATACCGGCAGCTGAAGCACACTCTTGCTCCCTCTTCCATCCTTCAACAGCACTGCTCTCTATGGGGCTGACGTACACATGTCAGCCGCGGCGTGTACGAACTAACTTTTTGATGCCACCCTCCCTCCTCATCCTCGACGCTCTATGTCCACCTTTACCCACCCCTGCACATGCCTTTTCCTGTTTACCGTCATCCACTTTCTTCACCCCCCCCCCCCCAAGCCATGCTTTAACCCCGGGTGATACAAGCATGCCAAGCCGTACGCAGCGCCTTCACAGGTCCAGAGACGATTGGATATCAGATGCAAGCGGGAACAACATGATCCGCAGCTCCCTCGCTTGTCACTGATGGTCCAATCTCACCCCCCTACTCCGCAAGCTGGAGTGCCAGGCTTGTTCATGTCGAACAATTGGAACGACAAGCTACCAGTCAGTACTCGGGATGTCACCCAGCCTGTTCTCTACGTCCCCCAAGCCATACATAGGACTGGACGGTCCGGTGTGCATCTGCACGTATAGCTCCTACCGCCCCAGGGCCTCAGTCGGAATCCCACCGCTTCCACACTTATCTTCGAAACAGGTCTGTGCAGACCCCAAGGAGAACGATGCAGATACCTCAATGATTCAGTATTTATTACTACGCTATGCTATCTAGTTTTTTTTGTCCATACGCCTCGCTATAAACCACGCCTTTGAGATCTCTTCTTGAATCACGCTCTGGCCTTCGCAGCTCGCTTATTCTTCGCGTTCCTCTTCCTAACTCTCCTCAATTGACTTTCCTGCTCATACTGCGGCTCTTCATCCTGCACCGGTGCGCTGTTCTCGTAGCTAGCAACCTGCTCCGCAGTCCCCGGCACCTTCTCTGCCATCGCCTTTCGATCATACTTCTCCGGACTCCAAGACCCATCGTCATACTGCGGCTGCTCTGCAGGCGCAGCAGGGATCGGGGCGGGAGCAGGAGCAGCAACAGCAGCCGGCTCCTCAGTCTTCCCATCCCCATCAACCCACACCACCGTGTGATCCTCCGGCGAACCTGGTTCAGCCGAGTAATCGCCCGCAGGACCGTCGGACGTGCCGTCGACCCAGACGACGTCGTATGGCAGACTGGGGTCGGATTCGAGTGTTGGGTTGCCGGGGAGTTTGTGGTAATCGTTGTTCTCATAGTTAGGTGTGGGATATGTCGGCGCGGGAGGGGAGGGGCCGTAAGTCGGTGCTGGCGCAGGGTTTGGCTTGTACGTTGTTGGTCTGGGCTCTGGATTTGCCTTCTTGCTCGTCGGGTTAGGTGCATAGGTGGACGAAGGCTCAGACGAAGACTTCTTCAGTTCATCCGCCATCCGCTTCACATGACTCCAGTCATTGCTATCCTCGCCGAGACTCCACGCCATAACACCACCAAGGCCATACTTTCTCACAATATCATCAAACTTCCTCGATATAAGCTCAGGCGTGTCCCAGGTCCAAAAGAGGCGGTTAGCAGGGTCGAAGTAGTACTGTCCACCAGCCTGCTCGTCGGTGACGCCGTTCTTCGCAGCGTTCTGCCACGAGCCAGCGACGTCGGTGTCGGTACATCCTGTCCCAAAGGCATGCTGGCATGCGCCGGAGCAGTGCTCGGGAGACGTACCGCAGTTGCCGTATTGACTGCAACAGCCTGATGCGCATCTTGTTCCCTTGTCTGGGCCACATGTGCCGTCGTAGCTCACTGTCAGACTGCTCGCGTCCACGGGCGCCATGTGCTGTTTCTCGAATGTCCAGGCTCCGCTGATGAGCAGGTCTTTGCCTGTGACGGGGTCTTCGGCGAGAACGATGGGGCAATCAAGAGGAGAGGCAGAGCAGTCGCCAGCGGTGGTGAAGTACTTGGCGTAGTAAGCGAAGCCGAGATTGATTTTGGATGCTGGCGCGCCGATGTCAAGGTAATTCTTGATCGCTTCTTCGGAGCCGGCAACGGAAGTGTGGTGGTGTGTTACGTTGTCACGGCGGTTCATTAGATCGTAGGACATGACGTTGATATAGTCGACTGAGGGCCAGATCTTGAGGCCTGTTTTTGAGGTAAAGGCCAGCATGTCGCCTACCCTCGTCAGCGTGGGTCAGTGAGATAGATCTTGGGATAGTAAGTACCTTTCTTGCCAGGTACAGCAATTGAGAGAAGTTTGTTGGGGCCGATGGCAGTTCGAGTCGCCGCAAGAAGTTTGGGAAATGCATCGATCTGGTACGACTTGGCCGAATTCGAGACTTGCTTGTAGTCAGCGCCATTGCCACCTGGATATTCCCAATCGATATCTGCACATGTCAGCTGGATACTGGCGAAAGCAGAGTTCATACTCACCCACGCCGTCAGCTCCAGTGTTTGCGAGCATGGTGTTGATATCGCTCGCAAATTTCTGCATACTGGTCTCAGAGTTGGAGACAGTGTTGAAACCGATGTCATCGCCCCATCCACCGACAGCTGACTCTTTGTTAGTACCTCACCAGATATCGGAGTAGATGAGTCTTACCGATCATGACCTTTGCATTGGGGAATTCTGAGCGGATGGTCGAGATCGGCACCTTAGGCGCGTATCCCGCGGTATTGTTCGCGGAGGCTGAACACTATCAACTATAGCAAATGGTAGCGAGGAGGTATACACTGACCGAAGGCGAGAACAACATGGTCAATGCCAGCACGATCTTGAGCGTTGGTTGGACGAATTGGATGCCATCTGCACAATGTCAGTAGAAAACAAGTGAAGTTTTGAACAGCACAAACTTACTCATCTGCGTACATCACAAAGCGTGCACTTGCTGAACAGAGCAGTGCGGCCAGCGTCCATGATGCTGTGCAACGCATGTTGTGTCGGAGTCTGACAGGTTCGACAGTCTGGTAAGATGTCGCAGTTGAGGAAACGGTGCTCTTTGTAGGCTACAGATCAGTGACCTTGATGAACTGTTTGACTTCAATAGCTTCCGACCTGCAGAGCAAACACGGTGAGGTGCGGACACCTGGGACCAGGATTTCTTTATACGGATGCCTGCGAGACGCCTGATCACATCTCCCGTTTCCCCGGTGGGGATCGCTTCATCGTTTCGCCACAAGGGAGCTAAGGACCGTTCAGTGCCTTGCTTTTCTCAATAAAGTGCTGGAGGTTACGAGGCAACGTAACGGGTCTGGACAGGACGGGAGTGGGCAGGGGTGTTCACGATGAGTTTGTGACTTGACATCACCACTTTAGTGAGGTTTGGTGATCTGACTCTTTTGGTCGATGTCAAGCTGCTTCGGGTGGTTGATACCGCATACAGCTCGAACAGAGCAGTGCTGAGCGAGATATTCGACTGCTGACAGCTGTCATTCGCGCATGAAGATGAAGCTGGTGGGAGATCGGAATGCTCGCAGACTGCTTTCGTGCAGCCGTGGCTTCGAATGCATTACTCCCCAATAGGCAACCTGGTAACATAATCGCGGAACCTTGTGTACTTCGAATAGCGTTATCCTGGTCAGTGGTGTTTGTGAGAGGTCTTTCAGAAGATCTGGGCGATTTTTGCCAGTACGGTGTGCAATACGGTGAGCGTCGGTTCGCCTGCCGACGACAAAAGACGGTACTGTGTCACTCTACCCCATGTCAGTAACGCCAGAACCAGGCATACACAGAGTCATTTGGAGTACAAGAGCGGGGCATCATTCTGGAGATTGGATGCGCAAGAGAAAGGGTGAAATTTGTGACGAGTACCTGGCTCGGTCGGAGGAGCACTTGCGAAACTCATGCAGGAAAGCATATTGCGGCCGTCCGGTGTAGCGCCCAGACCGGGAGGAAGCCGGGCTCGAAATACATGTCGCATTGACGGACAGGTGCAGGCCTAGTGATGCTCGCCAAGTTGAGGCCTTCGAACCACACCCAGAAGCTGCATGACACGCAATCATCTGTCGACAGACGCCGCAATTGCCTTTGCTGAATGCGACCTGTACAAGCGAACGAATCGGTCACTTAGGTACCATCACTGGGTACCTGTCAAGCACGCATTGACAGCTGACGACAGAGGACCGCGCCCTGACATTGCCCGTGTATACTCGAGATGGAAAAGGACAGATCCCGTGTCGAGCGACAATACCAAATCCTATCAATGACGTCGAAATATCACCCATCAAGGACGGCTTTTCATGTCACACAATATCTCGCCTCTCGAATAGATGTCCGTCGTACCCGAGGAACTCCCTGCTCTTGCGCTCGATATGTCATATACCAAAACACCCACTTCTCGGCGCGAACTCGGACTTGTCTCTTATGTTGCAATAAAGTCGGACACAATCGTCCCAAGCCTCAGGATCTGGGGCGGCAGCCATGGAGTTGTTGTCCATCTTCTGGTAACTGAAAAGATTAACAAGACTACAGGTGATTTTGTGTCTATAGGATGCTTCCTCATTAGAGGTGAAGACCTCATCAGATCGAGAGTTCGTGGTTGCAGCATGAGAGCTTGTGATGCTTTTGAGCGAGGGCCGACTAAAGGCACAATTCATGCCGGATGCTGAAAGCCTGGGGAATTGTTAAAGCCAAGTCTGAACTTTCCATGGTTGATGCGCAATAGCTGACTTCTTCATCGGTCCGGAAGTCAGGTTCGTTCAGGAATTCCCGGCGTCAAGAGCATATGCTAAAGCTGCCAGCACGCAAACGTAACCGGCGTTTCGGACTACCACTCGTCATCAATATGAATGCAATGCGTCGATGGGCATGGATGGATATGTTTGGCATGGATGGATATGTTTGGCATGGATGGATATGTTTGGCATGGATGGATTCGTTTGGCATGGATGGATCTGTTCAAAGGTGTGCCGTTGCTGATGTTGGTACGGCATCGATGACGTCTAATAGCACCGAGAAACCATGGTCCACGATAGACGAGACTGCTCTCCACCGAGCCAAAACAACGGACATGCGCTCGAGCTTGGGCTTCGAAGATTGCGATTGCGACCTGAACTGACACCTGGCATCGGCCGTTCAACGGCGAATGTTGTTGCACGTGAAGCTTGGGCCGGCTAGCCGCGATCGACAGGCAAGCTACCCCGGCCTCCCGTAAGCCCCTCGATAGCTCTGGCCAACCACGACGCGACAGAAAATGAGTGGCTGGGGTAGGCTGGCACGTCCAGCTGCATGAACACGCAACACGGGCGGACTCAGCTGAGAGATTGTCTGAAAAATGCCTCCTGCGCGCGAACCATATCGCCCGCTGCATAAGGACTGTTGTCTGCGCCAATTGGGACGCTCCACGCGTGCGCGGTGGATCCACTGCTGGTGCTGATGTTCTGGCGCAAGGGTGGGAGCAGCTCCCGGCAGCTCTGTGGAGTCGAAAGTCAATTTGCTGCCATTGCGCCGCCAATTGCGCGTAGATCGTCCGGGCAACAGCCGCGCAGTGCTCAGCTGCTGGATCTGCCTCTTCAGAGATGCCTCGGCTGCGGAAAGAGGCGTTGTGGAGGATGTCAGTGAAGTGCGAAAAGGGGAGGCTGCGGCGCGCCATGAATGCGCTAAAACCAGGCACAACAAAGCTAGGCCACATCGAGACAGCTCCCCATCACTCCTTCCCAGCAGCGCCGGGCTGCCCTGTGAAACCGTTGCTCACAACACGACCCAGCTGACGGCACCTGTCCGCCAATCTACTTGACCCCCTCCTCGCCTCACTGCTCCGTGTCTCCTCCACCTCGCCCCGCTACTGCACCATCGCGTCGCTGCACATTACCAGCACTCCCATCACAACCCTCCAAAGGAGCCAAGAAGTTGTTCTTGATTCCTTTCGAATTGTTTTCGAACGGTTCGAAGGGTCTTGAGAATAACGCACCGACTCCGGCAAACTGGATTTTGAAGCGCGAGTAAGAGAAGTCGCCGGCGGTGTAGTCAAACAGTGACAGGCGCTGACAGCCCAGGTTCCGATCCCCTTCAGTGTCTTCCCGTCTGCGTATCGGAACGCGGTCAACCAGGAGACCACCAGCACCAAGGTAGAAGGCGAAGTCAAGCTACCTGACCATCAAGCACACGGACGGGAAGGTCACGAAGAGACGCACGAATCCTTCTCTGCCACCGTCCACCAGCAGCAGCAGCAGCAGCAGCCGCCGCCGCGCGACACGCACATCAAGGAAGAGGTCCGCATCTACGAGGAAGAGCGCCGCCGCCCGCAGCAGCCTCACCGCGAAGAAGTCCACATCCACGAGGAGACTCGCTACCGCCAGCCCGAGCGCGCTCAATCTCAGTTCGACCGCCAGTCTCAGTACGAGTCTCGCCAGTTTGACCGGTAAGTCCGTGTGGTTTTGCCTCATCTCATCTTTGTTTTGCTCTTCTGCCAGCGGATCCAGCACGGCCCACCCACAACACAGCGCCCAACCACCCCAGCCCCTGAGCTTGGCGACTAGAAGCCACGGGCCGCCGCTAAACCTAATTGCAATGTTGTTGTCAGAGCGACACGCATGTCCCCACTTTTCCCTCACCTCCTCTTCCCTGCCCATAGCTGACCTTCCCTTTCTTCCACCAGCTTCCCGCCCCAACCTTCTCACTCCCACACCCACATCGACATCAAAGACAGTACCTACGACAGACACTTCAACACTGTCCACGGCCCTGCCACCGACTACGCGCCCACCCCCATTGACGTTTCCGAGCGCCAATTCCGTGAACGCACCCGTCCCATCGTCGAGGACTCTCGCTCAGGTTACACCCGCGAGACCTTCACTGCCAAGCACCAGGACACCGTCGACCGACGCCATCCTGAGGTTCGAGTAGAGACATCTGCTCGTTCCACCGCCGAGCCCTCCAAGCACCGCCGCCTTTCCATGGGATATTACGACAACGAAGGTCAATACCACTCGTTCCGTAACGCTGCCCACAACGCTGCCCACAAGGTCGCCCACAAAGTCGCTGAACGCGTAGCCCACCCCATCCACCCCCACCGCCACCACCACCACTCCGACTCCCACTCCTACGTCGGAAACAAGTACTCCGACGACAAGGAAGAGATCATCGTCAAGGAGAAGTACACCACCAGTGCTCCTTCTCACGTCTCTGCCGCTCCCTCCCACGCTCCCGCTCCCTCCCACGCAGCACACTCCCACGTGTCTGCCGCCCCCGCTCCTCTCCCCAGCCGCCCCGTCTCGTCCGGTGCTCCTGTCCAGAGGTCTACCCGTGTCCACCCCGCTCCCGCAGTTACTCCCTACGTTCCTGCCGCCCCCGCAACCGCACGCAAAATGGCTTCCGCTAACACCATCACCATCCCCTGCCACCACATCCGCATTGGCGATCTCCTGATCCTCCAGGGCCGCCCTTGCCAGGTCATCCGCATCACCACCTCCTCCCAGACCGGCCAGCACCGCTACCTCGGTGTTGACCTCTTCACCAAGCAGCTCCATGAGGAGTCCAGCTTCATCTCCAACCCCGCCCCCTCGGTCGTTGTCCAGAACATGCTCGGCCCTGTCTTCAAGCAGTACCGTGTTCTCGACATCCGTGAGGATGGCCGCGTTGTTGCCATGACCGAGACTGGCGATGTTAAGCAGGGTCTTCCCGTCCTTGACCAGAGCGGTCTCTCTTCCCGTCTTGCCGAGTCCTTCGACAACGGCCGCGGCTCCGTCCGCATCCTTGTCATCAACGACGATGGTCTCGAGATGGCTGTCGACTACAAGGTCGTCCACGGCTCCAAGCTGTAAGCGTGCGTTGTAGACGTCGATGGTTAGTACTACCTACCTTTCTCCCACACTCGTGCTGACTGCCTGAAGGTCAACATGTATAATGAAGGCATTGGGAGTTCGTTCCGGTCTTGACTTGTGTTTATAACTTGGTGTTCGTTGCTTGGCTGGCGTACTACCTTGGGCAGGGTTCACTCTCGTGCCTAAGCAGGTGCTGCTTGGTTTGGGTATGAGCATGAATCTTTGGCGACATCTGTGGATAGTTAATGAAATGTGTGTCTCCTAAAGTCTTCCTGGTGTTCCTGTTGCTGTTGTGACTGTCGTTGCCACCTGCCGCTGACCTCGTCCGAGCTACCCCGCGTTCTCCAGTAGCTCTCCCGCACATGCAGCTTGTGTCCACCTCGGTCCACTTTAGGTACTTACTCAAAGCGTTCGTCCTTAATCAACATCAGATCTGTTCACTTTAAGTCATTTAGATCAAACCGGAACAGGGAGGCATTCACAGGATCCAACCACACGCAGCACCAGCTTCACAAGCCGCGCAAGAGCCAATGCCGCACTCGGACCATTCACCCTCCCCCAATCCCTCAGAAGCCTTTACCGATCTGCCTCCCTTTCCCGACAACGTCCCCACCGCACCATTCCCCCGCATCTCCCTCGCCAAGCTGCTCACCCACGACACAGACGAAGAGGAGCGCTGCTGGAGAGCATGTCAAGAGCTGGGCTTCTTCTACCTGGACCTCCAGTCCTCCCATGGTTCAGCCCTGCTTGAAGATGCAGACCGCCTCTTCGAGCTTATGAAAGGCTTTTATGAACTGCCCGTGGAAGAGAAAACTAAGTATGACTTCAAGAGCAAGGGGAGCTACTTTGGGTATAAAGGATATGGAGAGGGGATTATTGATAAGAATGGAACACGAGACCGAAACGAATTCTACAATGTCTCGAAAGACGATGTCCTCGGGCTGTCAGAAAGGTTGCCGAGTCCAGAGGTCCTCAACAGCGATTCCGTTCGCTCGCTATTCAAAAGCTACATCGACCAAAGCCACGCTATCTGCTCCTCCATCATCGCCCTAGTTGATCAGCGTCTCCCGCTTACCGCCAAAGCTAGGCAGGATGGTGGTCTGGAGGCTCTCCATCGTCTGAGCGCGACGAGCGGTGATCAGATCCGTTTTGTCAAAGCGCCGCCGCAGCGACCCAGCACCAAGGGCGTTGCGCTGGGCGAGCATACGGATTTCGGTTCCGTTACTGTGCTCTTCAATCGCTTGGGTGGGCTGCAGGTCAGGCTTCCGGAGGGTCTGGAGCCTGCTAGATCGAATGGTGATGGAGAGGCAACTGAGGCGGAGGAGAGGTTGTGTGAGGATGGGTGGTGCTATGTTAAGCCGTTGCCAGGACATTGTATGGTGAATTTGGGAGATGCGCTAGTGAAGTTTTCCAACGGGCAGCTCAGGAGCAATATTCATCGCGTTGTTGCGCCGCCTGGACGGCAGGGGGAGGTTACGAGGTATAGTTTGGTGTACTTTTGTCGGCCGGAGGATGACGTACTACTGGGAAGCTTGGTTGAGGGTGGTGAGGAAGAAGGGGATGAGAAGGTCACGTCGAAGGAGTGGATTTTGAGGAGGGCGTTGGGGAGGAGGGATGCCAGTGGCTGGGAGAAAAGTGAGGGCACGGAGGACGGGAGCATGAGGAGGGGCGGTATGAGGGCTTAGGACTTGGCGTTCGAAGAGGAAAGCTTGGATGTTGACTACCTCCATAGGTACGTCACATCCATATGCAGGACTCGACGAAAGGCTTCCTGGATGTACTCGTACCTGTCTACCTACATAAAACCACAACTCGTCTATTCAAAATTGAACTCCAGAACGTTCATTTGTCTTGTGAGCCCTGTTCAAAACAAAGATTTGAAAAATGCGGTGGGCTTCCTTTGTTTTAGTCTCCACCCGCCAGATCAAATTACAGTGTTGCATCTGATCATGTCTTTGCTACCACCCAACACATGTTCTGCTCCCGCCATCGAAAGAGTCAGCAAGGCTCCTCATGAACAGGTTTGGTGTTCATGGGAACTCCGCATCGGCAAAGGCTTCAATGTTTCCACCTCTCGGTCAAGATTAACTCACTAAAAAGAAAGTGTGCCTTTGGTTAGGTGGTGCTGCTCTCTTGAAGCGCGCCATACATCCCTCTGTCTTCACTCGGTTTCACAATCTTCTTATGGAAAAATGTCCAAATGAACCCTATGTCCTGGCTCTTGTCCCCAAATGCTGCCTTCAACGACCTCATGTTTGCTCCCCTCCAATTCGCGTCATGCAGCCAAGACATAAGGATTGAACGTGGCTATAGCTGCTCTCCAAAATCAAAACTCGATACACATTATGTCTCCTCTTTGCCTTTACAAGGCCTTCTCCTCACCATGTTGTGACTGTCGCCTGGCCGGAATCCTTAACACTTTCCAAATTTCGACACGGGACAGGTTGTTCACAAACCTCAAGGCGGGGTGGGGTATGCAGGCTTCCAAGAAACTTGCCATATCTCTTTGCATGTTCTCTGGTCACTCACTATTTCTTCTACTTCAAAGCGGACTATACTTCGTTGATGACGACTTTGAATCATGAGATTGCTATCAAAATACAAAAGTCTTTCTGAATAGCCAATATGGGCGCGATCACACTCGAAACAATACCTTGAGAGGCTCATGGCCCTCACTGTGCCTGAGAGTCGACTTTGGACACCAACGTGTATTCCTTACGAGTTGAAAGTCTGTCATGATCGAATGTGCACTGCCCTCTGGTCTAGGATAAAGCTCAGCAACAGTCCCTGATGCTGTTCTTCATCAACCAGAACCGACAACGTACCAAAAACGAGGTTGACGCCTGGTAAGTGCTGTACTTTATTCGTCCCACTACACAGATGTCGAGAAATCGCAGAGGCTGTAAATCGAATTCGAGAGTCGACTGATCATGTTCTGCCGCCGAGAGAGTCTTTACGAGCTTCCATCAAAAAGTCTTTACCAAGCAAGCTATGTCTGTCTTCCATCCAGGAGCTCACCGGACAACAGTCAATATTCTTCCACTCTGTCTTGAGCATAAACCCCTACAAAGCCTATCACTCATCCGTACCATCGCTGATCTCAAAGAAGCAGATGGCGATTTCATGCCCTGCTCGTCCTCAAAACAGACACACAACCTGATCATGTTTTCTCTCGAACGAGTCCCGTACACCAGAATCCCGCAGACGTCGCTGGCATGTACACCCCAAAACCAACACCCCCAAGTCCCATGTCTCTGGAATCAAGTATCAGCCTTTGGAAAAGTTTTGTCAAACCAGGATCGTCACAGGGACTGGTTCTCCTGACAGCCGACATGTTTGTGCTCCGAAGTCAGCGAAAGATCGATCCTCAACAGTTCATGTGTCTGCCGTCCCCCAAAAACCAACGTAGCATCGACGTATGTTTCCCCATCATCCAGTCTTTTCCCATTTTCTCTCCCTCAATGACACCGTCCTCCTCAGTCCTTTGTGCTCTCCTCGACACTAGAAAGCAGTGGTAGATACACTCGTGGTTTTTCAGGATCTGCAGATCAAAGAAGATCGCGTTTGTCAGCGTGTGCTGCCTCTGTTTTCCAAGGTACACGTTGCAGGAGCTAGGCTCATGGACTCTTCCGACTTTCGATGGTCCCTTGTACAGCGACACTGGATGACAAAAACACCAGTCTGAACGACGTAATGTCCACAAGTCTTTCAAATGAAGGCACGCAAAGTGCCACGAGATAGCAATGACTCCTTTGTAAATCACAGCACTATTTTGCGTTGGTTCATGCGGATTGGGAGGGTCTGTCAACTCGCGGATCCGTGTTCATGCGACCACGAAGCCAAAGTGATGTAGTCGCCAACATATGTGTTGCCGTGCTCTTCTCATTTCATATAATCGTGGTATCTATCTCCCTCACATCCTCCCTGCAGAGGCTTCTACGCTTGCTACTGCGTCAACGGCGCATCATACACTAACACAACATGATCGTCTCCCGCCGTGACAATAACCTCGCCACCGCCCTGAACAAAACCCATAACACCGCCGCCCTCGCCTCCACCTCGATGCCCTTTCCACTCGCCAACCAACCCCTTGTTAGCCGCCGTTGTCCCGCCTCGTGCGTCCCACCTCCTCACCACACCGTCGAAGCCCGCACTTGTGAGCAGCCACCCACCAGCGCCCTCCTTGTTGACAAACTCGAGCTTGACGACTGCTTGCGGCATCTCGTCGTCGGCATGTGCGTCTTCGATCCTCCTGCGTACGGCGAAGCGGTGCGCTGTATCGAACAGCGTTATGCTCCCGTCAACGTTACCCGCGGCCATGAGCGTAAGCGGTGCACTCGTAAAACTCAGTGTCTCCACGTTGTCGCTTCCCGCCTGCAAACTTGCCAGAATCTGTCCAGTCTGGCCAGCGCTCGCGGACGACCCCTTGGCGGGCGCTTGTTTGCTCCCTCCCGCCTTACCCTTTGCGCCTGCACCGCCTGAGCTCGCAGACGCGGCCTCTGTGCCCAGGCGCGGGAGCCCGACGATGCGGATCTGGCCCTCCGGACCGCCCACGGCGACGAAGGATCCGCTTGGCGGGATGCCGACGCTGTACAGACCCCCCTGGACGAGGAAGCGCTCGTCGAGCCCGGTCAGGCCGACGACGGTTTGCGAGCTGGGGTCGATCAGCCCCTGCGATGCGGCGTCGCCGAAGACGTCCCACACGTAGAGACTGCTGTCCTCGCTGACGGTAGCGAGGAGCGCGCCGTCGGGCGTCCACGAGCCGGCGGTGCAGGGCTCGGTGTGCAGGTAGTACGCCTGGAGGACTTGGAGTTCGTTGCCCTTCTCGGTGGAGAGCTGGTACACCCATACCGAGCCGTCGTTTGCGCCGAGGGCGATGATGTTGGGGTGTGCGGGCGACGGGTTCGGTGCGAGCCAGCTGATTTCCTCGACTTCGCTTGCTTCGGCGAGGAATTTCCACTTCTTGCCGTCTGGCACGCCTTGCCAGACGCGCAGTTTCCCGTCCAGACCAGCGGTGGCTACGAACTGGCCCTTGGGCGCTGAGAAGGCGACGGCGTTGATCGAGTCCTTGTGGCCGTCGAGCTTGAAGACGCTCTTCAGCCCTTGGCGCTCGCCTGCTTGCGTGGTTTCTGGCACGGCGGTGATGTCGATGATATAGCCTACGTCATCGCCGCCGCCAGTTGCGATGATCTCGGGGTGCACGGGGTGCTGGGCTATGCAGAAGATGGAGTCCTTGTGCTCGTCGAAGTGGGTAACTGAGTCGTTTTGCAGGTTGATCTCCATTTGCACGTCGTCGTCGCCCTCATCGTCGCTGTCCATGGGCACGTCGCCGTCATCTTCGACAATCTCTTCTGCTTCGTCGGCGTCCAGCACGTTGTCTTCGTCGTGGTAGTCGATTTCGGGCTCGTCGTGGGTTTGTTGCGCCGACATTTTTGTGGGTTTGTGTATTTTGCTTTGGTCGTGTATAATGCGCAGTATGCTGCTCTTCTGTAGCAGTTTTATGTCGTGGCGCTGCTTAGAAATGCTGCAAAGCTTCTGTCGACGACTTTTTTGTTCGGCTGCACGTCGGCCATCGGTCGTGGAGGGGCGGCTCATCAACCCCTTGCACGTCACTTTGGCTTTGTAACCGCAAGCCTGACCGAGTCACCTCATATCCACCCAACCCTTCAAGTACGGACTGTATACACTGAACGGATTTGTACATCGATCGACCTTGCTATACACAACATTGTATTACTAACCTACAACTTGCTGCCCGCCCTCTTCCTCTTCTCCTTCTCCTGGTCCCTCAAGACCCGTCTAAGAATCTTGCCAGATGGCGATTTGGGGATCTCATCAATGAATTCAACACCGCCTGTGATCCACTTGTACGTCGCCTTTGTCTTCTCGACGTGCTTCTGGATATCGCGCGCGATCATTCTGTCACTTTCCTCGAGACCCACAGACGATGACTTTACAACAAACGCCTTCGGTACCTCACCAGCAATGTCGTCGGGGATTTGGATCACGGCGCAGTCGTTGACGGCGGGGTGCGTCAGGAGATGGGCTTCGAGTTCGGCGGGGGCGACTTGGTGGCCCTGTGTGCGTGTTAGAAAAGGCTCCTGAGGGCGAGAGAGTGGAGAAAGAGGGCACTTACCTTGACCTTGATGAGCTCCTTAATCCGATCTACAACGAAAACATGCTCATGTCCGTTCGGTCCCTTCCTCACCACCGCCTTGTCACCCGTGCGCATATACCCGTCCTGGAAGGTCTCTATGTTCGCCTTATCGTTCTTCAGGTATCCCAATACCACAGCTGGAGACTTGACGAGCAGCTCGCCCGGCTGGTCGTACCCGGTGATCTCATTGCCTTCGATGGTCACGAGCTTGCACTCGGTGCCAGGCAAAATGCTGCCCGACGAGCCGAACCAGATGTCGTCTGGTGAGGTGGAGGTTACGACTGCGCAGGCTTCTGTGAGACCGTAGCCTTGCCGAATCTTCCAAGAGGGGAAGGTGGCTTGTATGTCCTCCGCCGTTTCCTTGCCCAGTGGCGCGGCGCCGGTGAAGAGCGACCAGACGGAGCTCAAATCATACTTGGCGAGCAGCGGCTTGTTCTTGGTCATCAAGATGATGATTGGGGGCACGAGGAAGAGCGTGTTGATCTTGTAGGTTTGGGTCGCTTGCAGGGTCGTGGTAAAGTCGAATTTGGGGAGCACGATGACCCCGTCGCCGCGATACACGGAGGCGTAGCAGATGACGACGAGCCCGTACATGTGCGACATGGGGAGCAGGCCGAGGACATTCTCGGTGTAGTCGGACTGGTTTCGTAGGTCTTTGATGATGGTGTCTCTGTAGGGCTTTTCGAAGGTGCCGATTTGCACTGCGGCTGTCAGCACGGTCGCAGAGAGACATGTGGACAAAACTTACTGGTATTGGCAATAACGTTTCTGTGCGAGATCATCACGCCCTTAGGTAGTCCAGATGTGCCACTGGAGTAGCACAGGAAAGCAGCCTTCTTCGCGCCATCTCCGTCTTTCCAGTCCAGTTTCTCGAGCCTGTCCAACTCTTTGCCTTCCTGGATCAAGTCATCGACCGTCTTCATACCCTTCGGCGCACCCTTGCCGCCAGTGAAAGCCTCCGGCACATTGAGAATGTAGATCCGGTGATCCGGGATACCGCTCTTCTTCGCAGCCTCCTTAGCCGTCTCCAGCAGCGGCACACACGTGAACAGCGCCTTGGCATCCGAGTTCTTCAGTTGGTACTCCAGCTCCGCCGCACTGTACGCCGCATTCGCTGGGCTCTGCACACCTCCCAGACGATGCGTCGCCCACGCCAGCGGCAGCGTGTCGAGCGTGTTGACAGCAAACACGCCAATGACCTTGTCCCACTCAGAGCCCTTGTTCGGGTGGAAGCCCAGCTCCTTCGCCAGCCCGCGGGCCAGGTAGTCGACACGCTCGCGCACCTCGAGGCTCGAGTATGTCTTGCCTGTCAGCCCGCAGGTGAAGGGGTTGTTCGAGTAGCCCAGCGGGTGCCTGCCGTAATGTTCCTCGAGCATGAAGTCGCAGGTGGGGATTGAGTCAGGCGGAGAGAAGGGGAGCTTTGGCACCCATGATGGCGGAGTGAATACCATGGTGTAATGAGCGTCGCGAGCAGACAAACCACTACGATGCAAATATCAGTGTCTACGATGCTTCAATGCGACCACGCGATTCACCAGATGGTATGGGAGGAGCTGAGACGAGATCGCTGGCCGACCGTGGCCGGGCAGGGCTTCCTTAAGGCATCGGGAAGCTGTTGCGATATACTAGTGTGGTGTCCATCACAGTCAGCCTGCATCTGACAGCTCCCCCACAACCTGGCAATACATGGGGTAGGGACCAAGCTAGTGCAAGTAACGGCGGCACTGTCTTGAAGAGGTTTAGCTCAAGCAACGGCTACCCAGTTTGAGGCTTACCGAGAGACGTCTGGCAGCGACGACGGCTTCGTCGGTCCATCATCGACCTCGGCCCTCAAACGAAGTTGTTTCATCGATATGCTCTGCTTGCGAAGGAAAATAAGGACATGGCAATGCTGATGTCGTTGTGCTTGTGCGCAATGTCTGTGATGTTGGTCAGTGCGTCAGGACCGCTCTGACCTGCATTAGGGCGTGCAATAAGCTAGCCGATATAGTTTCCGTCCATATAGTTTCCGTCCACATAGTTTCCGTCCACATAGTTTCCGGCCACCCAACCCAACGCAATACCTGATTTTTGACGCAATATATTCTCAACACCACACCTTCAAAATGGATACTAAGGAGTATGCAATACAATCTGCTATTGCAGATCCCAAATCTGGTGTTTTTAAAAGTGAGCAAGGTGCTGCGCACTGGCATGGAGTTCTGCAATTGACACTGCGCGGGCGCGCCGCAGGTCAACTTCCACACACAACAGCTCACTCAAATCAACAGCGTTTAACACCAGAGCAAGAACACTTCTTAGTAGAGTGGATTCTCAAAGAGGATACTTGCGTGCGGGAAATGGCGACCTGAATACTCCAGATGAATGGAGACTACAAGCCTCTTGGGCAACTATGGGTACCCCATTTCATCACCCGCAACCCACGCGTTGCCTCTATAGTTGGCTGAACAATCAAAAGTGCACGGACTACAACAGCCAACTATGAGACAATTCAAGCCTGTCTTGAGCTGTTTGAGCATACTCAAATCAAGCTGGGTATACAGTACAAAGATACATGGGATGTGGATGAGACTGGAGTTGCACTAGGTGTATGTACAAACTCCCAGGTTGTTGCATGCTCTTCCAAAAAGAAAGCTTACATAAGATCACCAGAGGATTGCAAGTGGGTATCAATTATTGAAGCCCTCTCAGCTGTTGGTGCCAAGCTCCAATACCTTGTTATCTTTAAGGGAAAGCATCTACAAAGCTGTAAAAATAGGATGTAGCAACACAGTATAACTAAGGCAATCCTCTGTCTTGTCCGCTGTATGGGGGAAGGGGCAGGTATAGGGAAAAATCTCTGCCATGCTAGGGTGATCTCAGGGGATCTTGGGCAATCTCAGTTGCTCCAGAGGTGGTCAAAGTGCATTGCGTGAGCTTGCCCGTGACAAAAGTGTTGCGATTTGTGCCTTAGGCAAAGCTTGAAGACACTAGTCAATTGGTTCTCGGGGATGAGCAGAGGTACAGAAAGCCGTAGGAGTTGACAGACACCTAAGCAAGGCTTGGGTGGTCAGGGGTAGACCATCCGGGCAGGTTATGATAACCTTTGTAATAGTCAGGTAGTCATCTAGTCAAAGACCGTGGCGACTGGTTGCAGTGAGTAGTACAGAGTATACTGTCTGGCTCAAGAGCAAGTGAGATTCCAATAACAAAGTTGATTGAAAAGGTTGATGTTACGATCCATGAACAACTCGCAAAACAACACTGAACAAACAGGACTACGCAACAAGACGAGAGCAGCCAAGGAACTGCAGTATCGATTGACCGAGCTGTGAAGCCATGTCAGTGATACCCAGTATAATCAACACTCGCAATGTCTGTTATACGAACTGAGATTGTATGAAAAGGACTGCAATGGATACAACGTGGATCTCGTACACAAATGATCGTCACGGACCCATATACCGACCCACTTGCAGAGGACCCATGTTGACAACAATCAATAGGACACCGAGGACCGAGTATCGAGGTCACATTGACAACGCTTGATTGGACCGAGTATCAAGTCACTGACAATACTCGATATGAGCAGTACAATCAATCCTCCTGTCAAGTATATAAGCAAGTAGACA